CGCCAAAAAGAATTCATGCGGCCCGCCAAAGAATTCATGCGACTCGCCAAAAAAATTCATGCGACTCGCCAAAAGAATTCATGCGACTCGCCAAAAGAATTCATGCGACTCGCCAAAAGTTCATGCGACTCGCCAAAATTCATGCGACTCGCCAAAAGAATTCATGCGACTCGCCAAAAGAATTCATGCGACCCGCCAAAGAGTTCATGCGGCCGCCAAAAGAATTCATGCGACTCGCCAAAAAAGAATTCATGCGACCCGCCAAAAATTCATGATTCACATGCAAAAAGAATTCTCATAAAAAGAATTCATGCGACCCGGCAAAAGAATTCATGCGACTCGCCAAAGAATTCATGCGGCTCGCCAAAAGAATTCATTCATGCGACTCGCCAAAAAGAGTTTATGCGACCAAAAAGAATTCATGCGACCCGCCAAAAGAATTCATGCGACTCGCCAAAAAATTCATGCGACTCGCCAAAAAAATTCATGCGACTCGCCAAAAAAATTCATGCGACTCGCCAAAAAGTTCATGCGACTCGCCAAAAGAATTCATGCGACTCGCCAAAAAATTCATGCGACTCATAAAAAGAATTCATGCGACTCGCCAAAAGAATTCATGCGGCCCGCCAAAAGAATTCATGCGACTCGCCAAAAGAATTCATGCGACTCGCCAAAAGAATTCATGCGGCCCGCCAAAAGAATTCATGCGACTCGCCAAAAGAATTCATGCGACTCGCCAAAAGAATTCATGCGACTCGCCAAAAGAATTCATGCGACTCGCCAAAAGAATTCATGCGACTCGCCAAAAAGAATTCATACGCCCGTTCATGCGACCATGCGAAAAGAATTCATGCGACTCGCCAAAAGAATTCATGCGGCTCATAAAGAATTCATGCGACGGGACTCAAAAGAATTCATGCGATTCGCCAAAAAGAATTCATGCGACTCGCCAAAAGAATTCATGACTCGCCAAAAACATGCGCCCCGCCAAAAGAATTCATGCGACTCGCCAAAAGATTTCATGCGGCCCGATAAAAATTCTCGCCAAAAAGAATTCATGCGACTCGCCAAAAGAATTCATGCGACTCGCCAAAAAATTCATGCGACTCGCCAAAAAGTTCATGCGACCCGCCAAAAGAATTCATGCGACTCGCCAAAAGAATTCATGCGACTCGCCAGAATTCATGCGGCCCGCAAAAACTCGCCAAAAGAATTCATGCGACTCGCCAAAAGAATTCATGCGACTCGCCAAAAGAATTCATGCGACTCGCCAAAAGAGTTCATGCGGCCCGCCAAAAGAATTCATGCGACTCGCCAAAAAGAATTCATGCGACTCGCCAAAAAATTCATGCGACTCGCCAAAAGCGACCCGCCAAAAAGAATTCATACGACTCGCCAAAAAGAATTCATGCGACTCGCCAAAAAAGATTCATGCGACTCGCCAAAAAAGTTCATGCGGCCCGCCAAAGAATCATATGACTCGCCAAAAAGCCATGCGGCCGCCAAAGAATTCATGCGACTCGCCAAAAAAGAATTCATGCGGCCCGCCAAAAAAAATTCATACGACCGCCAAAAATAGACTTCATGCGACTCGCCAAAAGAATTCATGCGACCCGCCAAAAGAATTCATGCGACTCGCCAAAAATTCATGCGACTCGCCAAAAGAATTCATGACTCGCCAAAAGAATTCATGCTACCCGCCAAAAAGAATTCATGCGGCCCGCCAAAAAGAATTCATACGACTCGCCAAAAAATTTCGTCGCCAAAAGTTCATGCGGCCCCGCAAAAGAATTCATGCGACTCGGCAAAGAATTCATGCGACCGCCAAAAAGAATTCATGCGACTCGCCAAAGATTCATGCGACTCGCCAAAAGAATTCATGCGACTCGCCAAAAAAATCTGCGACTCGCCAAAAGAATTCATGCGACTCGCCAAAGAATTCATGCGATAAAAAAGAATTCATGCGACTCCGCCAAAAGAATTCATGCGGCCGCCAAAAGAATTCATGCGCCAAAAGAATTCTCGCCAAAAAGAATTCATGCGACTCGCCAAAAGAATTCATGCGACTCGCCAAAAGAATTCATGCGGCTCGCCAAAAGAATTCATGCGACTCGCCAAAGAATTCATGCGGCCAAAAGAATTCATGCGGCCCACCAAAAGAATTCATGCGACTCATAAAAGAATTCATGCGGCCGTTCATGCGACTCGCCAAAAGAATTCATGCGACTCGCCAAAAAATTCATGCGACTCGCCAAAAAAATTCATGCGACTCGCCAAAAAGAATTCATGCGACTCGCCAAAAAATTCATGCGACTCGCAAAAGAAACTCATGCGACGGCCCGCCAAAAGAATTCATGCGACTCGCCAAAAGAATTCATGCAGCCCGCCAAAAGAATTCATGCGGCCCGCCAAAAGAATTCATGACCCGCCAAAAGAATTCATGCGACTCGCCAAAGAATTCATGCGGCCTCGCCAAAAGAATTCATGCGACTCGCCAAAAGAGTTCAAAAAATTCATGCGGCCCGCCAAAAGAATTCATGCGACTCGCCAAAGAGTTCATGCGGCCCGCCAAAGAATTCATGCGACTCGCCAAAAAGAATTCATGCGACCCGCCAAAAGAATTCATGCGACTCGCCAAAAGAATTCATGCGACTCGCCAAAAGAATTCATGCGACTCGCCAAAAAGAATTCATGCGACTCGCCAAAAAGAGTTCATGCGCCATGACCTCGCCAAAAAAGAATTCATGCGGCCCGCCAAAAAATTCATGCGAAAAAGAATTCATGCGGCCGCCAAAAAGAATTCATGCGACTCGCCAAAAAGAATTCATTCATGAATTCGACTCGCCAAAAGAATTCATGCGACTCGCCAAAAAAGTTCATGCGACTCGCCAAAAGAATTCATGCGACTCGCCAAAAGATTTCATGCGGCGCGCCAAAAGAATTCATGCGACTCGCCAAAAGAATTCATGCAAAAAATTCATGCGGCCCGCCAAAAAGAATTCATGCGACTCGCGCCAAAGAATTCATGCGACTCGCCAAAAGAATTCATGCGCCCGCCAAAAAGAATTCATGCGACTCGCAAAAGCCATGCGGCCCGCCAAAGAATTCATGCGATCGTAAAGAATTCATGCGCCCACTCGCTGAATTCATGCGACTCGCCAAAAGAATTCATGCGACTCGCCAAAAGAATTCATGCGACTCGCCAAAAGAGTTCATGCGGCCCGCCAAAAGAATTCATGCGACTCGCCAAAAGAATTCATGCGGCCCGCCAAAAGAATTCATGCGACTCGCCAAAAGAATTCATGCGACTCGCCAAAAGAATTCATGCGGCCCGCCAAAAGAATTCATGCGACTCGCCAAAAGAGTTCATGGCCCGCCAAAGAATGCGACTCGCCAAAAGAATTCGTGCGACTCGCCAAAAAGAATTCATGCAAATCGCCAAAAGAATTCATGGACTCGCCAAAAGAATTCATGCGACTCGCCAAAAAGTTCGACTCGCCAAAAGGCTATGCGCCGCCAAAAAGAATTCCGCCAAAATGCAAATCGCCAAAAGTTCATTCAAAAGAATTCCCCATGACCCGCCAAAAGAATTCATGCGACTCGCCAAAAGAATTCATGCGACTCGCCAAAAGTTCCCGTGGCCTCGCCAAAAAGGAATCATGCGACTAATTCACCGGGGAGACTCGCCAAAGAATTCGCCGACTCGCCAAAAGAATTCATACGGCCGCCAAAAGAATTCATGCGGCTCGCCAAAAATTCATGCGACTCGCCAAAAATTCATACGCTCGCCAAAAGAATTCATGCGACTCGCCAAAAGAATTCATGCGACTCGCCAAAAGAATTCATGGGACTCGCCAAAAATTCCCATGCAGGCCCGCCAAAAGAATTCATGCGGTTCGCCAAAAAGAATTCATGCGACTCGCCAAAAGAATCTTCATGCGACTCGCCAAAAGAATTCATGCGGCTCGCCAAAAAAGTTCATGCGACCGCCAAAAGAATTCATGACTCGCCAAAAAAGTTCATGCGCCCGCCAAAGAATTCATGCAGCCCGCCAAAAAAATTCATGCGACTCGCCAGAATTCCATGCGACTCGCCAAAAAATTCATGCGACTCACCGAAAGACCATGCGGCCGCCAAGAGAATTCATGCGACTCGCCAAAGAATTCATGCGACTCGCCAAAAGAGTTCATGCGGCCCGCCAAATAATTCATGCGACTCGCCAAAAGAATTCATGCGACTCGCCAAAAAGAATTCATGCGACTCGCCAAAAGAATTCATGCGACCAAAAGAATTCGCTGCAGCCCGCCAAAAGAATTCATGCGACTGCCAAAAGAATTCATGCGACTCGCCAAAAGAATTCATGCGGCCCGCCAAAAGAATTCATGCTACTCGCCAAAAGAATTCATGCGACTCGCCAAAAGAATTCATGCGACTCGCCAAAAGAATTCATCGCGGCGACTCGCCAAAGAATTCATGCGACTCGCCAAAAAGAGTTCATGCGACCCATAAAAGAATTCATGCGACTCAAAAAAGAATCCTCGCCAAAAAGAAAAGAATTTTCATGCGTAGCCCGCCAAAAAGAATTCATGCGGCCCGCAAAATTCATGCGACTCGGCAAAAGAATTCATGCGACTCGCCAAAAAGTTCATGCGGTTCGCCAAAGAATTCATGCGACTCGCCAAAAGAATTCATGCGGCTCCGCCAAAAAGAATTCATGCGGCCCGCCAAAAGAATTCATGCGACCTGCCAAAGAATTCATGACTCGCCAAAAAAATTCATGCGACTCGTTAAAAGAATTCATGCGGCCCGCAAAAGAGTTCATGCGGCCCGCCAAAAAAACTATGCGGCTCATAAAGAATTCATGACTCGCCAAAGAATTCATGCGACTCGCCAAAAGAATTCATGGCTCGCCAAAGAATTCATGCAAATCGCCAAAAAGAATTCATGCGACCCGCCAAAGAATTCATGCGACTCGCCAAAAGAATTCATGCGCCCAAAAGATGCGTCGCCAAAGAATTCATGCGGCCCGCCAAAGAGTTCATGCGACCTGCCAAAAGAATTCATGCGACTCGCCAAAAGAAAGTTCATGCGGCCCGCCAAAAGAATTCATGACCTCGCCAAAAAGAATTCATGCGACCCGCCAAAAGAATTCATGCGACTCGCCAAAAGAGTTCATGCCCGCCAATCGCCAAAAGAATTCATGCGGACTCGCCAAAAAAGAATTCATGCGACTCGCCAAAGAATTCATGCGGCCTCATAAAAAGAGTTCATGCGACTCGCCAAAAGAGTTCATGCGGCTCGCCAAAAGAATTCATGCGACTCGCCAAAAGAATTCATGCGACTCGCCAAAAGAATTCATGCGGCCGCCAAAAGAATTCATGCGACTCGCCAAAAGAATTCATGCGTGCCCGCCAAAGAATTCATGCGATCGCCAAAAAGTTCATGCGGCCCTCGCCAAAAGAATTCATGCGACCCGCCACTCGCCAAAGAATTCATGCGGGCCCGCCAAAAGAATTCATGCGACTCGCCAAAAGAATTCATGCGACTCGCCAAAAAAAATTCATGCGGCCCGCCAAAGAATTCATGCGACTCGCCAAAAGAATTGCGGACCGCCAAAAGAGTTCATGCGACCCGCCAAAAGAATTCATGCGACTCGCCAAAAAAGTTCATGCCCGCCAAAGAATTCATGCGACTCGCCAAAGAATTCATGCGGCCTCGCCAAAAGAATTCGGCCCGCCAAAAGAATTCATGCGCCAAAAGAATTCATGCGGCCCGCCAAAGAATTCATGCGACTCGCCAAAAGAATTCATTCAAAAAAATTCATGCGGCCCGCCAAAAGAATTCATACAAATCGCCAAAAAAAGTTCATGCGGCCCGACTCGCGAAAAATTTGTGCGACCCCGCCAATAGAATTCATGCGACTCGCGAAAAGAATACCGCGCGACCCGCCAAAAAATTCATGCGGCTCGCCAAAATTCATGCGACTCGCCAAAAGAATTCATACGACCTGCCAAAATGCAATAAAATTCATGCGACTCGCAAATTCATACGCCCAAAAAGTTGGTGCGTCTCGCCAAAAAGAATTCATCGCCATAAACCGTCATCGCTCGCCAAAAGAGTTCATGCGACTCGCCAAAAATTCATGCGACTCACCAAAAAAGAGTTCGCCAAAGAATTCGCGGCTCGCCAAAAGAATTCATACGACTCGCGAAAAGAATTCATACGACTCGTCAAAGAATTCATGCGACCGCCAAAAGAGTTCATGCGGCCCGCCAAAAGAATTCATGCGACTCGCCAAAAAGAGTTCATGCGGACTCGCCAAAAAGAATTCATGCGACTCGCTAAAAGAATTCATGCGATCGACAAAAGTTCATGCGGCCCGCCAAAAGAATTCATACGTATAAAAAGTTCATGCGGTCGGCAAAAAAGAATCATACGACTCGCCAAAAGAATTCATGCGACTCGCCAAAAGAATTCATGCGACTCATAAAAAGTTCATTCATGCGACTCGCCAAAAGAATTCATTCATGGCTCGCCAAAGAATTCATGCGACTCGCCAAAAGAATTCATGCGGCATGCGGCCGCCAAAAAGAATTCATGCGACTCGCCAAAAAGAGTTCATGCGGCTCGCCAAAAGAATTCATGCGACTCGCCAAAAGAGTTCATGCGGTTCGCCAAAAGAATTCATACGACTCGCCAAAAAGAATTCCGAAAAATTCATGCAAATCGCCAAAGAAAGTTCATGCGGCCCGCCAAAAGAATTCATGCGACTCGCCAAAAGAGTTCATGCGGCCCGCCAAAGAATTCATGCGACTCGCCAAAGAATTCATGCGACTCGCCAAAAGAATTCATGCGCGTGACTCGCCAAAAAAGAATTCATGCGACTCGCCAAAAGAATTCATGCGGCCCGCCAAAAGAATTCATGCGACTCGCCAAGAATTCATGCGCGACTCGCCAAAAGAATTCATGCCAAAGGACTCAGCCCAAGAATTCATGCGACTCGCCAAAGAATTCATGGCCCACCAAAAGAATTCGCCAAAGAATTCGCGCGACTCGCCAAAAGAATTCATGCGAATCGCCAAAAGTTCATGCGACTCGCCAAAGAATTCATGCGACTCGCCAAAAGAATTCATGCGATCGCCAAAGAAATCATGCGAAAAAGAATTCATGCGACCCGCCAAAAGAGTTCATGCGGCCGCCAAAGAATTCATGCGACTCGCCAAAAGTTCATGCGGCCCGCCAAAAGAATTCATGCGACTCGCCAAAAGAATTCATGCGGCTCGCCAAAAAGAATTATGCGACTCGCCAAAAGAGTTCATGCGGCCAAAATAATTCGCGGCCCAGAAAGAATTCATGCGACTCGCCAAAGAGTTCATGCGGCTCGCCAAAAAGAATTCATGCGACCCGCCAAAGAATTCATGCGACTCGCCAAAGAATTCATGCGACTCGCCAAAAGAATTCATGCGACTCGCCAAAGAATTCATGCGACCATGGGACTCGCCAAAAGAATTCATGCGGCCCGCCAAAAATTCTGCCAAAAGAATTCATGCGACTCGGCAAAGAATTCATGCGACTCGCCAAAAGAATTCATGCGACTCGCCAAAAAATTCATGCGACTCGCTAAAAGAATTCATGCGCTCAAAAAACTTATGCGGCCCGCCAAAAGAATTCATGCGGCCCGCCAAAAGAATTCATGCGACTCGCCAAAAGTTCATGCAGCCCGCAAAAGAATTCATGCGACTCGCCAAAAGAATTCATGCGACTCGCCAAAAGAATTCATGCAAATCGCCAAAAAAGTTCATGCGGCCCGCCAAAAGAATTCATGCGACTCGCCAAAAGAGTTCATGCGGCCCGCCAAAAGAATTCATGCGACTCGCCAAAAGAGTTCATGCGGCCCGCCAAAAGAATTCATGCGACTCGCCAAAAGAATTCATGCGACTCGCCAAAAGAATTCATGCGACTCGCCAAAAGAGTTCATGCGGCCCGCCAAAAGAATTCATGCGACTCGCCAAAAGAGTTCATGCGGCCCGCCAAAAGAATTCATGCGACTCGCCAAAAGAATTCATGCTCGGAATTCATGCGACTCGCCAAAAAGAATTCATGCGACCCGCCAAAAGAATTCATGCGACCTGCCAAAAGAATTCATACGACTCGCCAAAAGAATTCATGCGGCCCGCCAAAGAATTCATGCAGCCCGCCAAAGAATTCATGCGACTCATAAAAGAATTCATGCGACTCGCCAAAAGAATTCATGCGGCTCGCGAAAAATTCAATAAAAGAATTCATGCGACTCGCCAAAAGAATTCATGCGGCCCGCCAAAAGAATTCATGCGACTCGCCAAAAGAATTCATGCGACTCGCCAAAAGAATCATGGCTCGTCAAAGAATTCATGCGACCCAAAAAGAAGTTCATACGGCCCGCCAAAGAGTTCATGCGGCCCGCCAAAGAATTCATGCGACTCGCCAAAAGAATTTTCATGCGACTCGCCAAAAGAATTCATGCGACTCGCCAAAAGAATTCATGCGACTCGCAAGAATTCATGAAAAAAAGAATTCATGCGGCCCGCCAAAAAGTTCATGCGGCCCGCCAAAAGAATTCATGCGACTCGCCAAAGAGTTCATGCGACTCTCCAAAAGAATTCATACTCGCCAAAAGAATTCATGCGGACTCGCCAAAGAATCAATGCGACTCATAAAAGAATTCATGCGGCCGCCAAAAAGGTTCATGCGACTCGCCAAAAGACCATGCGACTCGCCAAAAGAATTCATGCGACTCATAAAAAGCACAAAGAATTACGCGGCCCGCCAAAAGAATTCATGCGACTCGCCAAAGAAATCAAGAATTCAGCGGTTCGCCAAAAGAATTCATGCGGCCCGCCAAAAGAATTCATGCGACTCGCCAAAGAATTCATGCGACTCGCCAAAAAATTGTTCATACGGCCCGAAAAAAGAATTCATGCGACTCGCCAAAAAGAATTTCATACGACTCGCCAAAGAGTTCATGCGGCCCCAAAAGAATTCATGCGACTCGCCAAAGATTCATGCGACTCGCCAAAAGAATTCGCCGACTCGCCAAAGAATTCATGCGACTCGCCAAAAGAATTCATGGGACTCGAAAAAGAGTTCATGCGACCCAAAAGAATTCATGCGGCCCGCCAAAAGAATTCATGCGACTCGGCAAAAGAATTCATGCGACTCGCCAAAGATGCGACTCGCCAAAAGAAAGAATTCATGCGACCCATAAAAGAATTCATGCTCGCCAAAATAATTCACATGCGACTCGCCAAAAGAATTCATGCGACTCGCCAAAAGAGTTCATGCGGCCCGCCAAAAGAATTCATGCGACTCGCCAAAGAATTCAAAAGAATTCATGCGACTCGCCAAAGAATTCATGCGCCAAAAGACATGCGGCCGCCGTTTGCGACTCGCCAAAAGAATTCATGCGGGCTCGCCAAAGAATTCATGCGACCCGCCAAAAGAATTCATGCGACTCGCCAAAAGAATTCATACGGACTCGCCAAAAGAATTCATGCGACTCGCCAAAAAAGAATTCATGCGACCTGCCAAAGAATTCATGCGGCCCATGCGACTCGCCAAAAGAATTCATGCAAGAGTTCATGCTACTCGCCAAAAGAATTCATGCGACTCATAAAAAGCCAAAGAATTCATGGCTCGCGAAAAGAATTCATGCGACGCGACTCGCCAAAAAGAGTTCATGCGGCCCGCATGCAAAAGAATTCATGCGACTCGCCAAAAGAATTCATGCGCCAAAAAAAATTCATGCCAAAAGAATTTCATGCACCAACAAAAGAGTTCATGGCCCGGCAATTCATGCGACTCGGCAAAAGCCAAAAAATTCATGCGACTCGCCAAAGAATTCATGCGACTCGCCAAAAGAATTCATGCGACTCGCCAAAAGAGTTCATGCAGCCCGCAAAAGAATTCATGCGACTCATAAAAGAGTTCATGCGACTCGCGAAAAGAATTCATACGGGACTCGCCAAAATTCATGCAAAAATTCATGCGCCGAAAGAAATCGCTCAAAAAAGTTCATGCGGCCATACGCCAAAAAGAATTCATGCGACTAGCAAAAAGAATTCATGCGACTCGCCAAAAGAATTCATGCGAATCATAAAAAAATTCATGCGGCCCGCCAAAGAATTCATGCGGTCGCCAAAAGAATTCGTGCGACCGCCAAAAAAGAATTCATGCGACTCATAAAAAGAATTCGTACGACCGCCAAAAAGAATTCGTACGACTCGCCAAATCGCCGAAAAAAGTTCGCTGCGGCCAAAAGCATGCAAAAAGAATTCATGCGACTCGCCAAAAAGAGTTCTGCGGCCCGCCAAAAGGAATTTCCTGACCAAAAAAAATTCATACGACTCGCCAAAAAGTGTAATTCATGCGGCCCGCCAAAAGAGTTCATGCTACTCATAAAAATTCATGCGACTCAAAAAAATTCATGCGACTCGCCAAAGAATTCATGCGACTCGCCAAAGAATTCTGCGAATCATAAAAAAGTTCATAGGACTCGCAAAAAAATTTCATGCGGCCCAAAGAGTTCATGCAGCCCGCCAAAAGAATTCATGCGACTCGCCAAAAAGAGTTCATGCGACTCGCCAAAGAATTCATGCATCGCCAAAGAATTCATGCGACTCGCCAAAAGAATTCACATGCGACTCGCCAAAAAAATTCATGCGAAAAAGAATTCATGCGACTCGCCAAAAGAGTTCATGACCCGCCAAAAGAATTCATGCGACTCGCCAAAAAGAGTTCATGCGGCCCGCCAAAAAGAATTCATGCGACTCGCCAAAGAATTCATGCGACTCGCAAAAGAATTCATGCGACTCTCGCCAAAAGAATTCATGCGTCCCGCCAAAAGAATTCATGCGACTCGCCAAAAAAAATCATGGACCCGCCAAAAGTTCATGTGGCCCGCCAAAAGAATTCATGCGACTCGCCAAAGTTCATGCGACTCGCCAAAAGAGTTCATGCGGCCCGAAATCATGCGACTCGCCAAAAGAATTCATGCGGCTGCTCGCCAAAGAATTCATGCAAATCGCCAAAAAGTTCATGCGGCCTGCCAAAAGAATTCGGGTGACTCGCCAAAAGAGTTCATGCGGCTCCGCCAAAAGAATTCATGCGACCTGCCAAAAGATTCATGCGGCCCGCCAAGAATTCATGCGACTCGCCAAAGAATTCATGCGACTCTGCCAAAATATTCATGCGACTCGCCAAAGAGTTCATGCGGGTCTGCCAAAGAATTCATGACCCGCCGAAAGAATTCATAAGACTCGCCAAAAGAATTCATGCGGACCTGCCAAAAGAGTTCATGCGACCCGCCAAAGAATTCATGCGGCCCGCCAAAAGAATTCATGGCCCGAATTATGCCAAAAGAATTCATGCGACTCGCCAAAAGAATTCATGCGACTCGCCAAAGAATTCATGCGGGCTCGCCAAAAGAATTCATGTGACTGCCAAAAGAGTTCATGCGACCGCCAAAGAATTCATGCGGCTCCGCCAAAAGAATTCATGCAAATCGGCAAGAGTTCACATGCGGCTCGCCAAGAATTCATGTGACTCACAAAAGAGTTCATGCGGCCCGCCAAAGAATTCATGACTCGCCAAATAATTCATGCGACTCGCCAAAAGAATTTGCGTCGCCAAAAGAATTCATGCGACTCGCCAAAAGAGTTCATGCGGCCCGCCCAAAGAATTCCACCAAAAGAGTTCATGCGGCCCGCCAAAAGAATTCATGCGACTCGCTAAAAGAGTTCATGCGGCCCGCCAAAAGAATTCATGCGACTCGCCAAAGAGTTCATGCGGCCTGCCCAATAATTCATGCGACTCGCCAAAAGAATTCATGCGACTCGCCAAAGAGTTTGCGCCCGCCAAGAATTCACGCGACTCGCCAAAAGAATTCATGCGACTCGCCAAAAGAATCTGGCGCAGCCCGCCAAAAGAATTGGCGCAGCCTGCCAGAATGCGGCCCGCCAAAAGAATTCATGCGACCTCGCCAAAGAGTTCATGCGGCCAAAAAAATTCATGCGACTCAAAAGAATTCATGCGACTCGCCAAAAAGTTCATGCGACTCGCCAAAGAAATTCATGCAAAAAGAATTCATGCGACTCGCCAAAAGAATTCATGCGACTCGCCAAAGAATTCATGCGGCCCGCCAAAAGAATTCATGCGACTCGTCAAAGAATTCATGCGACTCGCCAAAAAGTTCATGCGGCCAAAAATAATTCATGCGACTCGCCAAGAGTTCATGCGACTCGCCAAAATAATTCATACGCTCGCCAAAGAATTCTCGCCAAAAGAATTCATGCGACTCGCCAAAAGAATTCATGCGACTCGATAAAGAATTCATGCGACTCGCCAAAAGAATTCATGCGACTCGAGTTCATGCAAAAGAATTCATGCGACTCGCCAAAAGAGAATTCATGCGACCCGCCAAAGAATTCATGCGACTCGCCAAAAGAATTCATGCGACTAAAAAAATTCATGCGGACATTCATGCGACTGCCAAAAGAATTCAAACGCGACATGCGGTCCAAAAGAATTCATGACTTCGCCAAAAGAATTCATGCGCCAAAGTTCATGCGGCCTGCCAAAAGTTCATGCGGCCCGCCAAAGAATTCATGCGGACTGCCAAAAGAATTCATGCGACTTTCGCCAAAGAATTCATGCAATCGCCAAAAGAATTCATGCGGCCTGCCAAAAGAATCTGGCATGACTCGCCAAAGAGTCATGCGGCCCGCCAAAGAATTCATGCGACTCGCCAAAGAGTTCATGGCCCGCCAAAAGAATTCATCCGACCAAAAGAATTCATGCGACCGCCAAAAGAGTCTATGCGGCCTCGCCGCTAAAAAGAATTCGTGCACCGCCAAAAGAGTCTTCGCGGCCCGCCAAAGAATTCATGCGACTCGCCAAAAGAATTCATACCGCCAAAGTTCATGCGGTTCGCCAAAGAATTCATGCGACCTGCCAAAGAATTCATGCGGCCTGCCAAAGAATTCATGCGGACTGCCAGAAAGTGCGGTCTGCCAAAGAATTCATGCGGCCCGCCAAAGAATTCATGCGACCAAAGTTCATGCCAAAGAATTCATGCGACTCGCCAAAGAATTCATGCGGCCCGCCAAAAGAATTCATGCGACCTGCCAAAGAGTTCATGCGGCCCGCCAAAAGAATTCATGCGACTCGCCAAAGAATTCATGCGACGAAAAGAATTCATGCGACTCTCCAAAGAATTCATGCGGCCCGCCAAAGAATTCATGCGATCCTGCCAAAAGAGTTCATGGGCCCGCCAAAAGAATTCATGCGACTCGCCAGAATTCTATGCGACTCTCGCCAAAAGAATTCATGCAAATCGCTGTGTTCGCTGCCAAAGAATTCATGCGGCCCGCCAAAGAGTTCATGCGACTCGCCAAAAGAAATCTTGTGACTAAAGAGTTCATGTACCACAAAAGAATCAAGTGACTCGCCACGCGTGACTCGCCAAAGAATTCATGGCGCTATGCGGCCCGCCAAAAGAATTCATGCGGACCCGCTAAAAGAATTCATGCGACTCGCCAAAAGAATTCATGCGACTCGCCAAAAGAATTCATGCGGACTCGCCAAAAGAATTCATGCGACTCGCCAAAGTTCATGCGGCCCGCCAAAAGAATTCATGCGACCCGGCGAAAAGAGTTCATGGCCTGCCAAAGAATTCATGTGGACCTGCCAAAATAATTCATGCGGCCCGCTAAAAGAATTCATGCGACTCGCCAAAGAATTCATGCGACTCGCCAAAAGAATTCATGCGGCCTGCCCAAAAGAGTTCATGCGGCCCGCCAGTAATCTCGCCGAAGAATTCATGCGGCCCGCCAAAAGAATTCATGCGACTCGCTGCAAAGAGTTCATGGCCCGCCAAAGGAATTCATGCGACTCGCCAAAGAGTTCATGGCAACGGCCCGCTAAAAGAATTCATGACCCGCCAAAAGAATTGCGCGGCCCGCCAAAGAATTCATGCGGCCCGCCAAAAGAATTCATGCGACTCGTCAAAGAGTTCATGACTCTGCGAGTTCATGCGGCCCGCCAAAAGAATTCATGCGACTCGCCAAAGAGTCGCGGCCCGCCAAAGAATTCATGCGACTCGCCAAAGAATTCATGCGACTGACAAAAGAGTTCATGCGGCCCGCCAAAAGAGTTCATGCGGCCCGCCAAAAGAATCTATGACTCGGCAAAAGAGTTCATGCGGCCCGCTGAAGAATTCATGCGACTCGCCAAAGAATTCATGCGACTCGCCAAAAGAATTCATGCGACCTGCCAAAAGAATTCGCTCCGCCAGACTCGCCAAAAGAATTCATGCGACTCGCCAAAGAGTTCGCTGTGGCCCGCCAAAGAATTCATGCGACTCGCCAAAAGAGTTCATGCGATCGCCAAAGAATTCATGCGACTCGCCAAAGAGTTCATGCGACCTGCCAAAAGAATTCATGCGACTCGCCAAAAGAATCTGGCGCGGCCCGCCAAAGAATTCATGCAACTCGCCAAAAGAATTCATGCGACCCGCCAAAAGAATCTATGACTCGCCAAAGAGTCTGCGACCCGCCAAAAGAATTCATGCGCTGCCAAAATTCATGCGGCCTGCCAAAGAATTCATGCGGCCGCGCCAAAAGAATTCATGCGACTCGCCAAAAGAATTCATGCGACTCGCCAAAGAGTTCATGCGGCTGCCAGCAAAGAGTTCGCGGCTCAAAAGAATCTATTCGCGGACTCGCCAAAAGAGTTCATGCGCCCGCCAAAAGAATTCATCCGCGACTGCCAAAAGAGTTCATGCGACTCTGCCAAAGAGTTCATGCCAAAGAATCCCGGCCAAAAGAATTCATGCGTGACTCGCCAAAAAGAGTTCATGCGGCTCGCCAAAAGAATTCATGCGACTCTGCCAAAGAGTTCATGCGGCTCGCCAAATGCGACTCAAAAGAGTTCATGCGGGCTGCTGAAGAGTTCATGCGACCGCCAAAAGAATTCATGACTCGCCAAAAGAATCTGGCGCGATTCGCCAAAAGAATCTGGCGGCCCATACGGCCCGCCAAAAGAATTCATGCGACTCGCCAAAAGAATTCATGCGACTCGCCAAAAGAATTCATGCGACTCTCAAAAGAGTTCCATGCGGCCCGCCAAAAGAATTCATGCGACTCGCCAAAAGAATTCATGCGGCCTCGCCAAAAGAATGCGACTCATAAAAGAGTTCATGCGGCCCGGCAAAAGAATTCATGCGACTCGCCAAAAGAATTCATGCGGCCCGCCAAAAGAATTCATGCGACTCGCCAAAAGAGTTCATGCGACTCGCCAAAGAATTCATGCGGCCCGCCAAAAAATTCATGCGGCCCGCCAAAAAGAATTCATGCGACTCGCCAAAAAATCCATACGACCCGCCAAAGAATTCATGCGACTCGCCAAAAGATTCATGCGACTCGCCAAAGAATTCATGGACTCGCCAAAAAGACATGCGGCCGCCAAAAGAATTCATGCGACTCGCCAAAAAAATCATGCGACCGCCAAAGAATTCATACCAAAAGATTCATGACTCGCCAAAAGAATTCATGCGACTCGCCAAAAAAAGTTCATGCGGCCCGCCAAAAATTCATGCGACCCGCCAAAAAAGAATTCATGCTACCCGCCAAAGAATTCTGCGGCTCGCCAAAAGAATTCATGCGAAAATTCATGCGACTCAAAAAGAATTCATGCGACTCGCCAAAAGATTCATGCGACTCGCCAAAAAGAGTTCATGCGCCCGCCAAAGAATTCATGCGCCCGCCAAAAGAATTCATGCGACTCGCCAAAAAGAATTCATGCGACTCGCCAAAAGAATTCATGCGACTCGCCAAAAGAATTCATGCGACTCGCCAAAAATTCATGCGGCTCCGCCAAAAAGAATTCATGCGACTCGCCAAAAATTCATGCGACCAAAAGAATTCATGCGACTCGCCAAAAGAATTCATGCGGCCCGCAAAAGAATTCATGCGACTCGCCAAAAAAATTCATGCGACTCGCCAAAAATTCATGCGACTCGAGAGTTCATGCGTGGTTCAAAACAGTTCATGCGGCCCGCCAAAATAATTCGCGACCTGCCAAAGAGTTCATGCTGGCCCGCCAAAGAATTCATGCGACTCGCCAAATTCAGAGTTCATGTTGCCCGCCCAAAGAAATCTATGCGACCTCGCCAAAAGAATTCATGCGACTCGCCAAATTCAGAATTCATGCGACTCGCCAAAAGAGTTCATGCGACCTGCGCATGCACCTGCCAAAGAATTCACGCGACCTCGCCAAAAGAGTTCATGCGGCCGCGCCAAAAGAATTCATGCGACTCGCCAAAAGAGTTCATGGGCCCGCCAAAAGAATTCATGCGACTCGCCAAAAGAATTCATGCGACTCGCCAAAAGAATTCATGCGCTCGCCAAAAGAGTTCATGGCTCGCCAAAAGAATTCATGCGACTCGCCAAAAATTCATGCGGCCCGCCAAAAGAATTCATGCGACTCTGCCAAAGAGTTCGCGACTGCTAAAGAATTCATGCGGCCCGCCAAAAGAATTCATGCGACCTGCCAAAAGAGTTCAAAAAGAATTCATGCGACCTCGCCAAAAGATTTCATGCGACTCCTGCCAAAAGAGTTCATGCGGCCCGCCAAAGAATTCATGCGACTCGCCAAAAGAATTATGCGACTGCCAAAAAAATCTTGCGGCTCGCCAAATTCATGCGATGCCACCAAAGAGTTCATGCGGCCCGCCAAAAGAATTCATGCGACTCGGCCAAAGAGTTCATGCGACCGCCAAAGAATTCATGCGACTCGCCAAAAGAATTACGACTCGCCAAAGAATTCATGCGACTTCCAAAGAGTTCATGTGGGTCGCAAAAAAGAATTCATGCGACTCGCCAAAAGAGTTCATGCGGCCCGCCAAAGAATTCATGCGACTCGCCAAAAGAATTCATGCGATCACCAAAAGACCCATGCGGCCTGACAAAAGAATTCATGGGCGATTCGCCAAAGAGTTCATGCGACTGCCAAAAGAGTTCATGCGGCCGCCAAAAGAATTCATGCGACTGCCAAAAGAGTTCATGCGGGCCTGACAAAGAATTATGCGACTCGCCAAAAGAATTCATGCGACTCGCCAAAAGAATTCATGCGACCTGCCAAAAGAATTCATGCGACTCGCCAAAAAGAGTTCATGCGGCCTGCGGCCCGGGCTGAGAATTCATGCGACTCGCCAAAGAGTTCATGCGGCCCGCTTAAAAGAATTCAAGACCTGCGCCAAAAGAATTCACATCGCCAAAAAGAATTCATGCCAAAAGAAAATTCATGCGGCCCGCCAAAAGAATCTGCGACTCGCCCGTTCTGAAAAGAATTCATGCGACTCGCCAAAAGAATTCATGTGGACTCGCCAAAAGAATTCATGCGTGACCTGCCAAAGAGTTCATGCGGCCTGCCAAAGAATTCATGCGACTCGCCAAAAGAGTTCATGCGGGCCGCCAAAAGAACTGCCAAACAATTCATGACTCGCCGTAAAGTTCATGGCTGTCGCCAAAAGAATTCATGCGACTGCCAAAAAATTCATGCAGCCTGCCCAAAGAATTCATGCGACTCGCCAAAAGAGTTCATGCGGCCCGCCAAAAGAACGCGACTCGCCAAAGAGTCTATGCGGCCCGCCAAAGGAATTCATGACTCGCCAAAGAGTTCATGCGCCTGCCAAAAGAATCTATGACTTCCGCCAAAGAGTCTATGCGCCCGCCAAAAGAATTCATGCGACTCGCCAAAAGAATCATGCGCCCGCCCAAAGAATTCATGCGACTCGCCAAAAGAATTCATGCGACCTGCCAAAGAATTCATGCGGCTCCGTCAAAAGAATTCCATGCGACTCGCCATGACGCCAAAAGAATTCATGCGACTGCCAAAAGAGTTGGCGTGGTCTGCCAAAGAATTATGCACCTGCCAAACGAGTTCATGCGGCCTGCCAAAAGAATTCATGCGATTCGCCAAAAGAATTCATGCGACTCGCCAAAAGAGTTCATGGCTCCGCCAAAGAATTCATGCACCCGCCAAAAGAATTCATGCGGCTCCGCCAAAAGAGTTCATGTGGCCGAAGAATTCCTGCCAAAAGAATCTGGCGTGACTCGCCAAAAAGAATGCATGCGACCCGCCAAAAGAGTTCGCGGCCGCCAAAAGACTCGCCAAAGAGTTCATGCGGCCCGCCAAAAGAATCATGCGGCCCGCCAAAGAATTCATGCGACTCGCCAAAAGAATTCATGCGACTCGCCAAAGAGTTCATGCGGCTTCGCCAAAAGAATTCATGCGACTCGCCAAAGACCATGCGACTCGTCAAAAGAATTCATGCGACTCGCTAAAAAGAATTCATGCGACTCGCCAAAGATTTCATGCGGCCCGCCAAAAGAATTCATGACTTCGCCAAAGAGTTCCGCGGCCCGCCAAAAGAATTATGCGATTCGCCAAAAGAGTTCATGCGATCGCCAAAGAATTCATGCGACTGCCAAAAGAATTCATGCGACTCGCCAAAGAAAGTTCATGGCCCGCCAAATTATGCAGCCAAAAAGAATTCATGCGGCCCGCCAAAAAAAGAATTCATGCGACTCGCCAAAGAATTCATGCGGCCCACCTCGCCAAAAATTCATACGGCCCATAAAAAGGAATTCATGCTACTCAAAAAGAGTTCATGCACCCGCCAAAAAGAATTCATGCGACTCGCCAAAAAAATTCATGCGACTCCGCAAAAAAATTCATGCGACTCGCCAAAAAAATTCATGCGGCCCGCAAAAATTCATGCGACTCGCCAAAAGAATTCATGACTCGCCAAAAAGAATTCATGCGACTCGCCAAAAGAATTCATGCGACTCGCCAAAAGTTCATTGCGGACTCGCCAAAAATTCATGCGACTCGCCGTATGCTCTCAAAAAGAATTCATGCGACTCGCCAAAAAGTCTTCATGCGGCCCGCCAAAAGAATTCATGCGACTCGCCAAAAGAATTCATGCGACTCGCCAAAAGAATTCATGCGACTCGCCAAAAGAATTCATGCGGCCCGCCAAAGAATTCATGCGACTCGCCAAAAGAGTTCATACGCCCGCCAAAAATTCCTGTGAAAAGAGTTCATGCGGCCGCCAAAGAATTCATGCGACTCGCCAAAAGAGTCATGCGACTCGCCAAAAAGAATTCGCTGCGACTCGCCAAAAAGAATTCATGCGCCCGCCAAAGAATTCCGCCAAAAGAATTCATGCACTCGCCAAAAGAATTCATGCGACTCGCCAAAGAATTCATGCGACTCGCCAAAAGAATTCATGCCACTCGCCAAAAGAATTCATGCAGCCCGCCAAAAAAAATTCATGCGACTCGCCAAAGAAATGCGGCCCGCCAAAAGTTCATGCGACTCGCCAAAAGAATTCATACGAATTCATGCGACTCGCCAAAGAATTCATGCGACTCGCCAAAAAGAAAAGAATCATGCGACTCGCCAAAAAAAATTCATGCGAATTCATGCGCCAAAAAAGAATTCATGCGACTCGCCAAAAAGTTCATGCAGCCCGCCAAAAAGAATTCATGCGACTCATAAAATAATTCATGCGACTCGCCAAAAGAATTCATGCTGCTCTTCAAAAGAATTCATGCGACTCGCCAAAAGAGTTCATGCAGCCTTAAAAGAATTCATGCGACTCGCCAAAAGTTCATGCAAAAAGAATTCATGCGACTCGCCAAAAGAGTTCATGCGACTCGCCAAAAAGAGTTCATGCGACTCGCCAAAATTCATGCGACTCGCCAAAGAGTTCATACGGCCCGCCAAAAGAATTCATGCGACTCGCCAAAAAAAGTTCATACGGCCCGCCAAAAGAATTCATGCGACTCGCCAAAAGAATTCATGCGATTCGCCAAAAGAGTTCATGCGACTCGCCAAAAAAAGATTCATGCGGCCCGCCAAAAGAGTTCATGCGGCTCGCCAAAAGAATTCATGCAGCCCGCCAAAGAATTCATACGACTCGCCAAAAAAATTCATGCGACTCGCCAAGAATTCATGCGACTCGCCAAAAGAATTCATGCGACTCGCCAAAGAATTCATGCGACTCGCCGAGCGACTCGCCAAAAGAATTCATGCGACCTCGCCAAAAGAGTTCGACCGCAAAAGAATTCATGCGACTCGCCAAAATGGTTCATGCGACTCGCCAAAAGAATGCTGCCCGCCAAAAGGAATTCATGCGACTCGCCAAAAGTTCATGCGCCCGCATAAAAAAAGAATTCATGCGACTCATAAAAAGCGACCTCGCCAAAAAGAGTTCACTCGCGGCATGCGCGGCCCCGCAAAGAATTCATGCGACTCGCCAAAAAAAAAGTTCATGCGGCCCGCCAAAAGAGTTCATGCGACTCGCCAAAAGAATTCATGCGACTCGCCAAAAGAATTCATGCGACTCGCCAAAGAATTCATGCGGTCCGCCAAAAGAATTCATGCGACTCGCCAAAAGAGTTCATGCGGCCGCCAAAAGAATTCATGCGACTCGCCAAAATAGAGTTCATGCGGCCCGCCAAAAAGAATTCATGCGACTCGCCAAAGAATTCATGCGACTCGCCAAAGAATTCATGCGGCTCGCCAAAAGAATTCATGCGACTCGCCAAAAGAGTTCATGCATGCGACTCAAAAGCCATGCGGCCCGCCAAAAGAATTCATGCGACTCGCAAAAATTCATGCGACTCGCCAAAAGAATTCATGCGACTCGCCAAAGAATTCATGCGACCCGCCAAAAAGAATTCATGCGACTCGCCAAAAAAATTCATGCGGCCCGCCAAAAAATTCATACGACTCAAAGAGTTCATGCAAAAAGAATTCATTACGCGACATGCGCCAAAAAGAATTCATGCGACTCGCCAAAAAAATTCATGCGACCCTTAAAAAATTCATACGACTCGCCAAAAAATTCATGCGACTCGCCAAAAAAGAATTCATACGACCCGCCAAAAAGAATTCATGCGACTCGCCAAAAAGAATTCGTACATGCGACTCGCCAAAAGTTCATGCAGCAAAAAAGAATTCATGCGACTCGCCAAAGAGTTCGTGCGGCTCGCCAAAAGAATTCATGCGACTCGCCAAAAAGAATTCATGCGACTCGCCAAAAAAACTCGCCAAAGAGTTCATGCGACTCGCTCAAAGAATTCATGCGGCCCGCCAAAAGAATTCATGCGACTCGCCAAAAAGAGTTCATGCGGCCCGCCAAAAGAATTCATGCGACTCGCCAAAAGATTTCATGCGACTTGCTAAAAGAATTCATGCGACTCGTCGCCAAAAGAATTCATACGACTCGCCAAAAAGAATTCATGCGACTCGCCAAAAATCATGCGGCCCGCAAAAGAATTCTCTCGCCAAAAAGAGTTCATGCAGCCGCCAAAGAATTCATGCGACTCATAAAAAGAATTCATGCGACTCGCCAAAAGAATTCATGCGACCCGCCAAAAAAAAATTCATGCCACTCGCCAAAAGAATTCATGCGGCCCGCCAAAAGAATTCATGCGACTCGCCAAAAGAGTTCATGCGGGCCCGCCAAAAAGAATTCAGCCGACTCGCCAAAGAATTCATGCGACTCGCCAAAAGAATTCATGCGACTCGCCAAAGAAGTTCAATTCATGCGACTCGCCAAAAGAGTTCATGCGGCCCGCCAAAAGATTCATGACTCGCCAAACAAGTTCTGCGCCCAAAAAAGAATTCATGCTCCTTGAAATTATACCCGCCAAAAAGAATTCATGCGACTCGCCAAAAGAGTTCATGCAGCTCGCATGCGACCCAAAAGAATTCATGCGACTCGCCAAAAGAAGTTCATGCGACTCGCCAAAAGGAATTCATGCTCGACTCGCCAAAACAGTTCATGCGCCCGCCAAAAGAATTCCCCATACGACTCGCCAAAGAGTTCATGCGGCCCCGCAAAAATTCATGCGACTCGCCAAAAGAATTCATGCGACTCGCCAAAAGAATTTCATGCGACTTGCCAAAAAGAATTCATGCGACTCGCCAAAAAGAATTCATGCGACTCGCCAAAAGAATTCCATACCACTCGCCAAAAAAATTCATGCGACTCGCCAAAGAATTCATGCGACTCGCCAAAAAGAGTTCATGTGGCCAGCCAAAAGAATTCATGCGACTCGCCAAAAGAGTTCATGCGGCCCGCCAAAAGAATTCATGCGACTCGCCAAAAAATGCCACTCGCCAAAATTCATGCGACTCGCCAAAAAATTCATGCGACCCGCCAAAGAATTCATGCGACTCGCCCGCCAAAAGAATTCATGCGACTCGCCAAAATAATTCATGCGACTCGCCAAAAGAGTTCATGCTCATAAAAAGCGACTCGCCAAAAGAATTTCATGCGACTCGCTCAAAAACGTTCATACGACCGCCAAAGAATTCATGCGACTCACCAAAGAATTCATGCCACTCGCCAAAAAATCATGCGACTCGCCAAAAGAATTCATGCGACTCGCCAAAAGGATTCCATGCGACCCGCCAAAAAGAGTTCATGCAGCCCATAAAAGAATTCATGCGACTCGCCAAAGAATTCATGCCACTCGCCAAAGAATTCATGCAACTCGCGAAAAGAGGAATTCAAAAATTCATGCGGCCCGCCAAAAAAAAATTCATACGACTCGCCAAAAAGAGTTCATACCACCCGCCAAAAGAATTCATGACTCAAAAAAAAAAAGTTCATGCAGCCTCGCCAAAGAATTCATGCGACATGCGACTCGCCAAAAAATTCATGCGGCTCATAAAAAGTTCCACTCGCCAAAGAATTCATGCGACTCCGCCAAAGAATTCATGCGACCCGCCAAAAAGAATTCATGCGACTCGCCAAAAAGTTCATGCGACTCGCCAAAAGAATCTTCTGCTCGCCAAAAGAATTCATGCGACTCGCCAAAAGAATTCATCCGACTCGCAAAAGAATTCATGCGACCCGCCAAAAAGAGTTCATGCGACTCGCCAAAAGAATTCATGCGTGACTCGCCAAAAGAATTCATACGACTCGCCAAAGTTCATGCAAGAATTCATGCACCCGCCAAACGATTCATGCGACCCGCCAAAAAAATTCATACGACCCGCCAAAAGAATTCATGCGACTCGCCAAAGAATTCGTGACTCAAAAGAATTCTTGCAACCCAGAATTCATGCGACTCGCCAAAGGATTCATGCGGCCCGCCAAAAATTCATGCGACTCGCCAAAAAAGGTTCATACGGCTCGCCAAAAAGAATTCGTGCGACTCGCCAAAAAGTTCATGCGACTCGCCAAAAAATTCATACGACTCGCCAAAAAAGAATTCATGCGACTCGCAAAAAAGAGTTCGCTGACCCGCCAAAGATTTCATGCGACTCGCCAAAAGATTTATACGACTCGCCAAAAAAGAATTCATCGACTCGCCAAAAAGAATTCATGCGACTCGCCAAAAGAATTCAACACTCGCCAAAAATTCATGCGGCCGCCAAAAGAATTCATGCGACTCGCCAAAAAATTCATACGGCCCGCCAAAGAATTCATGCGACTCGCCAAAAGAATTCTGCGACTCGCCAAAAGAATTCATGCCACTCGCCAGCCGAATTATGCGACTCATGAAAAGAATTCATGCGACTCTCCAAAAAAATTCATGCAGCCCGCCAAAAGAATTCATGCGACTCGCCAAAAGAATTCATGCGACTCATAAAAAGTTCATGCAGCCCGCCAAAAAATTCATGCGACTCGCAAAAAATTCATGCAGCCCGACAAAAAGAAATTCATGCGACTCGCCAAAAAGAATTCGCCGACTCGCCAAAAAGAATTCATGCTCGCAAAAGAATTCATACGCTCAAAAAATTCATGCGACCCTTAAAAAGAATTTCATGCGACTTCGCCAAAAGAATTCATGCGACCCGCCAAAAGAGTTTCATGCGACTCGCCAAAAAAATTCATGCATGCAGCCCGACTCGCCAAAAAAGAAATTCATGCGACCCCGCTCAAAGAATCATCATGCGACTCGCCAAAGAATTCATGCAGCCCATAAAAAGAATTCATGCGACTCGCCAAAAGAATTCATGCGACTCGCCAAAAGAATTCATGCGACTCGCCCAAAAAGTTCATACGACTCGCAAAAAAGAATTCATGCGACCCGTCAAAAGAATTCATGCGACTCGCCAAAAATGAGTTCATGCGACCCGCCAAAAGAATTCATGCGACTCGCCAAAAGAATTCATGCGACTCGCCAAAAAGAATTCATGCGACTCGCCAAAAGAATTCATGCGACTCGCCAAAAGAATTCATGCGACTCGCCAAAAATGCAGCCCGCCAAAAGAATTCATGCGACTCGCCAAAAAAGAATTCATGCGACTCGCCAAAAAGTTCATGCGGCCCGCCAAAAAGAATTCATGCGACTCGCCAAAAGAATTCATGCGACTCGCCAAAAAGAATTCATGCGACTCGCCAAAAGAATTCATGCGACTCGCCAAAAGAATTCATGCGACTCGCCAAAAAAAATTCGGCCGACTCGCAAAAAAATTCATGCGACTCGCCAAAAAAGAATTCATGCGACTCGCCAAAAAAATTCATGCTACTCGCCAAAAGAATTCATGCGAAAGAATTCCCGCCAAAAGAATTCATGCGACTCGCCAAAAGAGTTCATCGCCAAAAAGTTCATGCGGCCCGCCAAAAGGAATTCCCGACTCGCCAAAAGAATTCATGCGACTCGCCAAAAAATTCATGCGGCTCGCCAAAAGAATTCATGCGACTCGCCAAAAAAATTCATGCGGCTCATAAAAGAATTCATGCGACTCGCCAAAAAGTTCATGCGGCCCGCCAAAGAATTCATGCGACTCGCCAAAAGAGAATTCATGCCAAAGAATTCATGCGCTCGCCAAAAAAAAGTTCAAAAAAGAATTCATGCGACTCGCCAAAAAGAATTCATGCGACTCGCCAAAAAATTCATGCGACCCGCCAAAGAATTCATGCGACTCATAAAAAAATTCATGGCCCGCCAAAAGAATTCATGCGACTCGCCAAAGAATTCATGCGACTCGCCAAAAGAATTCATGCGACTCGCCAAAGAATTCATGCGACTCGCCAAAAATTCATGCGGCCCGCAAAAAAAATTCATGCGACTCGCCAAAAAGTTCATGCGGCTCGCCAAAAGAATTCATGCGACTCGCCAAAAAGAATTCATGCGACTCGCCAAAAAGAATTCATGCGACTCGCCAAAAGAGTTCATGCGGCCCGCCAAAAGAATTCATAAAAGAACTCATAAAAAGAGTTCATGCGGCCCGCCAAAAGATTCGCCAAAAGAATTCATGCGACTCGCCAAAAAATTCATGCGACCCGCCAAAAAGAATTCATGTTGCTCGCCAAAAGAATTCATGCGACTCGCCAAAAGAATTCATGCGACTCCAAAAAAAGTTCATGCCGTACCCGCCAAAAGAATTCATGCGACTCGCCAAAAGACTGCGACCCAAAAAGTTCTTTTGACTCGCCAAAAGAATTCATGCGACTCGCCAAAAGTTCATGCGGCCGCCAAAAATTCATGCGACTCAAAAAAAATTCATGCGGCCTCGCCAAAGAATTCATGCGACTCGCCAAAGATCATGCGACTCGCCAAAAAGAATTCATGCGACTCGCCAAAAAAAAGAATTCATGCGACTCAAAAAAGAGTTCATGCGACCCGCCAAAAGAATTCATGCGACTCGCCAAAAAAAGTTCATGCAGCCCCCAAAAGAATTCATGCGACTCGCCAAAAGAGTTCATACGGCCGCAAAAGAATTCATGCGACTGCGACTCGCCAAAAGAATTCTCGCCAAAAGAATTCATGCGGCCGCCAAAAGAATTCAGCGACTCGCCAAAAGAATTCATGCGACTCGCCAAAAAAATTCATGCGACTCATAAAAATAGTTCATGCGACTCGCCAAAAAATTCATGCGACTCGCCAAAAGAATTCATGCGACTCGCCAAAAGAATTCATGCGACTCGCCAAAAATTCATGCGACTCGCCAAAAAAGAAAATCATGCATGCCAAGGATTCGCCCGCCAAAAAAATTCATGCGACCGCCAAAAAAAATTCATGCGGACCCAAAAGAATTCATGCGACTCGCCAAAAGAATTCATGCGACTCGCCAAAAAAAGATTCATGCGACTCGCCAAAAGAATTCATGCGGCCCGCCAAAAGAATTCATGCGACTCGCCAAAAAAAAGTTCATGCGACTCGCCAAAAAGAATTCATGCGACTCGCCAAAAAGAATTCATGCGACCCGCCAAAAAGAATTCATACGACTCGCCAAAGAGTTCATGCGGCCAAAAAAGAATTCATACGACCCGCCAAAAGTCGCTGCGACTCGCCAAAAGAATTCATCGCGACTCGCCAAAAAAGAATTCATGCGACTCAAAAGAGTTCATGCGATTCGCCAAAAAAATTCATGCGACTCGCCAAAAAGAATTCATGCGGCCCTGCCAAAAATCATGCGACTCGCCAAAGAGTTCATGCGTGCCGCCAAAGAATTCATGCGACTCGCCAAAAGAGTCATTCTCGCCAAAAAAAATTCATGCGACTCGCCAAAGAAATCATGCGGCCTCGCCAAAAGAATTCATGCGACCCGCCAAAAGAATTCATGCGACTCGCCAAAAGAGGTCATGCGACTCGCCAAAAGAATTCGTGCGACTCTGCCAAAAGAATTCATGCGACCCGCCAAAAAAATGCGACTCGCCAAAATTCATGCGGCCCGCCAAAAAAGAATTCATGCGACTCGCCAAAAAGAGTTCATGCAGCCCGCCAAAAATTCATGCGACTCGCCAAAAGAATTCATGCGACTCGCCAAAAAATTCATGCGACTCGCCAAAGAATTCATGCGGCCGCCAAAAGAATTCATGCGACTCGCCAAAAGGTTCATGCGGCCCGCCAAAAAAGTTCATGCGACTCATAAAATAATTCATGCGACTCGCCAAAGACGGCCGCCAAAAATTCATGCGACTCGCCAAAAAATCATCCGACCCGCCAAAGAATTCATGCGACTCGCAGCAAAGAATTCATGCGACTCGCCAAAAGAATTCATGCGACTCGCCCAAAAAGATGTTCATAAAGAATTCATGCGACTCGCCAAAAGAGTTCATGCGGCCCCGCCAAAAAATTCATGCGACTCGCCAAAAGAATTCATCGCCAAAAAAGAATTCATGCTGCTCGCCAAAAGAATTCGCCGACTCGCCAAAAGAATTCATGCGACTCGCCAAAAGAATTCATGCCTCGCCAAAAAAATTCATGCCACCCATAAAATTCATGCGACTCGCCAAAAGAGTTCATGCAGCCCGCCAAAAGAATTCATGCGACTCAGCAAAAAGAATTCATGCGACTCGCCAAAATGCGATTCTTTCGATTCATGCGACTCGCCAAAAATTCATGCGGCCCGCCAAAAAGAATTCATGCGACTCGCCAAAGAATTCATGCGGCTCCGCCAAAAAAAGAATTCATGCGACTCGCCAAAGAGTTCATGCGGCCCAAAATAATTCATGCGACCGCCAAAAAAAGAATTCATGCGACTCGCCAAAATTCATTCGCGACTCGCCAAAAAAGGTTCATGCGGCTCGCCAAAAATTCATGCGACTCGCCAAAAAATTCATGCGACTCGCCAAAGAATTCATGCGACGCCAAAAGGTTCATGCGGCCCGCCAAAAGAATTCATGCGACTCGCCAAAAAGAATTCATACGACTCATAAAAAATTCATGCGACTCGCCAAAAAAGATTTCATGCGGCCCGCCAAAAAATTCAAAAAAAATTCATGCGACCCGCCAAAAGAATTCATGCGACTCGCCAAAAAGTTCATGCACTCGCCAAAAGAATTCATGCGACTCGCCATAGAATTCCTTCATGGACTCGCCAAAAAGAATTCATGCGACTCGCCAAAAGAGTTCATGCGACTTGCCAAAGAATTCATGCCACTCGCCAAAAAGAATTCATGCGACTCGCCAAAAGAATTCATGCGGCTCGCCAAAATTCCTTACGGCCCGCAAAAAAAGACTCATTCATGCGACTCGCCAAAGAATTCATGCCACTCGCCAAAAAGAATTCATGCGACTCGCCAAAAGAATTCATGCGACTCGCCAAAAGAATTCATGCGGCCCGCCAAAAATTCATGAATTCATGCGACTCGCCAAAAAGAGTTCGTACGACCCGCCAAAAGAATTCATGCGACTCGCCAAAAGAGTTCATGCGACCCGCCAAAAGAATTCATGCTGCTCGCCAAAGAATTCATGCGACTCGCCAAAAGAATTCATGCGACTCAGAGTTCATGCGACTCGCCAAAAAGAATTCATGCGACTCGGGCATGCAAAAAAGAATTCACTCGCCAAAAAAGGCATGCGACTCGCCAAAAAAAATTCATACGACTCGCCAAAAAGAATTCATGCGACTCGCCAAAAAGTTCATGCAGCCCGCCAAAAGAATTCATGCGACTCGCCAAAAGAGTTCATGCCACTCGCCAAAAGAATTCTTGCGACTCGCCAAAGAATTCATGCGACTCGCCAAAAAAAAAAAAAGTTCATCGGCCCGCCAAAAAGAATTCATGCGACTCGCCAAAAAAATTCATGCGGCTCGCCAAAAGAATTCATGCGACTCGCCAAAAAGAATTCATACGACCCCAAAAAGAATTCATGCGACTCGCCAAAAGAATTCATGCGACTCGCCAAAGAGTTCAATTCAAGAATTCATGCGACTCGCCAAAAGAGTTCATGCGGCCCGCCAAAAAGAATTCATGCGACTCGCCAAAAGAATTCATGCGACCTTAAAAGAATTCATGCGACTCGCCAAAATAATTCCCGCCAGCACCATGCGACTCGCCAAAAGAATTCATGCGACTCGCCAAAAAGAATTCATGCGACTCGCCAAAAGAGTTCATACGGCCCGCCCAAAAGAATTCATACGACTCGCCAAAAGAAATTCATGCGGCCCGCCAAAAAGAATTCATGCGACTCGCCAAAAAGAGTTCATGCGGCTCGCCAAAAGAATTCATGCGACTCCAAAAGAATTCATGCGATTCGCCAAAAGAATTCATGCGACTCGCCAAAAAAGAGTTCATGCGGCCCGCCAAAAGAATTCATGCGACTCGCCAAAAAGAATTCATGCGGCCCGCCAAAAGAATTCATGCCCGCCAAAATAATTCATGCGACTCGCCAAAAAAAGTTCATGCGACTCGCCAAAAAAATTCATGCGACTCGCCAAAAGAATTCATGCGACTCGCCAAAAGGTTCATGCGACTCGCCAAAAAAAAATTCATGCGACTCGCCAAAGAATTCATGCGACTCGCCAAAAAAAAGTTCATGCGCCCGCCAAAGAATTCATGCGACTCGCCAAAAGCAATTATGACCTGCCAAAGAATTCATGCGGCCTGCCAAAGAATTATGCGGCCTGCCAAAAAGAATTCATGCGACTCGCCAAAAGAGTTCATGCGACTCGCCAAAAGAATCCATGCGGCTCGCCAAAAGAGTTCATGCGGCCCGCCAAAGAATTCATGCAAATCGCCAAAGAATCATGCGGTCGCCAAAAGAATTCATGCAAATCGCCAAAAAGTTCATGCGGCCCGCGAATTCATGCGACTCGCCAAAAGAGTTCGCGGCCGCAAAGAATTCATGCGACCGCCAAAAGAGTTCGCGGCCCGCCAAAGAATTCATGCGACTCGCCAAAGAGTTCTCTCGCCGAAAAGAATTCATGCGACCTGCCAAAAGAGTTCATGCGGCCCGTCAAAAGAGTTCATGCGGCCGGCCAAAAGAATTCAAGACTCGCCAAAGAGTTCATGCGGCCCGCCAAAATTCATGCGACTTCAAAAATTCGCATTCGCCAAAAGAATCATCGATCGCCAAAAGAATTCATGCAAAAAATTCATGCGACCGCGAAGTTCATGCGGCCCGCAAAAAAAGAATTCATGCGACTCATAAAAGAATTCGCCGACTCGCCAAAAAATTCATGCGACTCGCCAAAAGAGTTCATGCACGCCCGCCAAAGAAATTCGCTGACTCGCCAAACGAGTTCATGCGGAGATTCGACTCAAAGAATTCATGCGACTCGCCAAAAAAAGTTCATGCGACCCTTAAAAATTCATTCATGCGACTCGCCAAAAAATTCATGCGACTCGCCAAAAAAATTCATGCGACTCTCCTTAAAAAGTTATTCACGCGACTCCAAAAAGATTTCATGCCAAAGACTCGCCAAAAAGTTCATGCAGCCCTTAAAAAGAATTCATGCAGCCCGCCAAAATAATTCGTACGACTCGCCAAAAAGAGTTCATGCTGCTCGCCAAAAAGAATTCCATACGACTCGCCAAAAAAAGTTCATGCAGCCCACTTAAAGAAATTCAGCCGACTCGCAAAGAATTCCTTAGGCCGCCAATAATTCATGCGACTCGCCAAAAAGAGTTCATGCGGCCCGCCAAAAAACCATGCGACTCGCCAAAAAGGATTCATGCAGCTTGCAAAGAAATTCATGCGACTCGTAAAAAGAATTCATACGATTCATAAAGAATTCATGCGACTCGCCAAAAAAGGATGCAGCCCGCAAAAAGGAATTCTACGACTCGCCAAAAGAATTCATGCGGACCGCCAAAGAATTCATGCGACTCATAAAAGAATTCATGCGACTCGCCAAAAGAGTTCATGCGGCCCGCCAAAGAATTCATGGAACTCGCCAAAAGAGTTCATGCAGCCCGCCAAAAAGAATTCATGCGGCCCGCCAAAAGAATTCGACTCGCCAAAAAGACATGCAGCTCGCCGAAAAAAATTCATGCGGGCTCGCCAAAGAATTCATGCGACTCGCCAAAGAATTCATGCGGTTCGCCAAAAGAATTCATGCGACTCGCCAAAAGAATTCATGCGACCCGCCAAAAAGAATTCATGCGACTCGCCAAAAAAGAGTTCATGCGGCCCGCCAAAAAAATTCATGCGACTCGCCAAAAAAATTCATGCGACTCGCCAAAAGAATTCATGCGACTCGCCAAAAGAATTCACTCGCCAAATCGCCCCCGCAGTTCATGCGGCTCGCCGAAAAGATTTCATGCGACTTGCCAAAAAGAATTCATACGAAAAAGAGTTCATGCGACTCGCCAAAAGAATTCATGCTCGCCAAAAGTTCATGCGGCCCGCCAAAAGAATTCATGCGGCTCGCCAAAAGAATTCATGCGACTCGGCAAAGAGTTCATGGCCCTGCCAAAAGAATTCATGCGACTCGCCAAAAGAATTCATGCGGCCCGCCAAAAAAAAGAATTCATGCGACTCGCCAAAAACTCGCCAAAAAGAATTCATGCGACTCGCCAAAAGAATTCATGCGGCTCCGCCAAAGAATTCATGACCTGCCAAAGTTCATGCGGCCCGCCAAAAGAATTCATGCGGCTCCGCCAAAAGAGTTCATGCGGCCCGCCAAAAGAATTCATGTGCGACTCGGGTTAAAGAATTCATGCGACTCGCCAAAAAGAATTAAGGCGACGCACCAAAAGAGTTCATGCGGCCCGCCAAAAAGAATCTTCATGCGACCTTTTAAAGAGTTCATGCGGCCCGCCAAAAGAATTCATGCGACTGCCAAAAGAGTACATGCGGCTCGCCAATTCATGCGACTCGCTGCAAAAGAATTCATGCGACTCGGTTAAAAGAATTATGCGATCAATTAAAAGAGTTCATGCCAAAAGAATTCATGCGACTAAAAGAGTTCATGCAGCCTGCCAAAGAATTGATGCGGCTCGCCAAAGAGTTCATGCGACTCGCCAAAAGAATTATGCGGGTCGCCAAAAGAATTCATGCGAATCGCCAAAAGTTCTGCAGCCCGCCAAAGAATTCATGCGACTCGCCAAAAAGAGTTCATGCGACTCGCAAAAATTCAACGACTCTCACAAAGACATACGACTCGAAAGAGTTCATGCGGCTCGCCCAAAGAATTCATGCGACTCGCCAAAAGAGTTCATACGGCCCGCCAAAAGAATTCATGCGACTCATAAAGCCAAAATAATTCATGCGACTCGCCAAAATTCATGCGGCCCGCCAAAAAATTCATGCGACTCGCCAAAAAATTCATACGCCAAAAAAGAGTTCATGCGACTCACAAAAGGCCCGACTCGCCAAAAAATTCATGCGACTCGCCAAAAAAGAATTCATGCGACTCGACCTTCGCTGACCCGCCAAAGAGTTCATGTGGCCCGCCAAAAGAATTCGCCAAAGAGTTCACTCGCCAAAGAGTTCATGCGGCCCGCCAAAGAATTCATGCGACCCGCCAAAAGAATTCATGCGACTCGCCAAAAGAATTCATGTGGCCTGCCAAAAGAATTCATGCGACTCGCTGAAAGAAATTGCGCGACTCACAAAGAATCTATGACTCGCCAAAAAGAGTTCATGGACTCGCCAAAAGAATTCATGCGACCCGCCAAAGAATTCATGCGACCCGCCAAAAGAATCTGGCGCGGCCCGCCAAAAGAATTCATGCGGCCCGCCAAAAGAATTCATGCGACTCGCCAAAAGAGTTCATGCGACTGGCCAAAAGAATTCATGCGACGCGACAAAAAGAGTTCATGCGGCTCGCCAAAAGAGTTCATGCGACTCGCCAAAAGAATTCATGCGACTCGCCAAAAGAGTTCATGCGGCCCGCCAAAAGATTCATGACTCGCCAAAAGAGTTCATGCGGCCTGCCAAAAGAATTCATGCGACTCGCCAAAAGAATTCAGTGACTCGCCAAAAGAGTTCATGCGGCTCGCCAAAAGAATTCATGCGACCCGCCAAAAGTTCATGCGACTCGGCTCGCCGAAAAGAATTCATGCGACTCGCCAAAAGAATTCATGCGGCCCGCCAAAAGAATTCATGCGCCCGCCAAAAGAAACTGCGTGACTCGCCAAAGAATTCATGCGGCCCGCCAAAAGAATTCATGCGGACTGCCAAAGAATTCATGGACCGGCCAAAAGAATTCATGGCCCGCCAAAAGAATTCATGCGAATCGGCAAAAGAGTTCATGCGGCCCGCCAAAGAATTCGCGACTCGCCAAAAGAATTCATGGCCTTGCCAAAGAATTCATGCGGTCTGCCAAAAGAGTTCAAAGATCCGCCAAAAAGAATTCATGTGACCTGCCAAAAGAATTATGCGACTCGCCAAAAAGAATTCATGCGACTCGCCAAAAGAATTCATGCGACCTGCCAAAAGAATTCATGCGACTCGCCAAAGAGTTCATGCGACTCGCCGCCAAGAGTTCATGCGACTCGCCAAAGAATTCATGCGACTCGCCAAAGAGTTCGCGGCCCGCCCAAAGAATTCATGCGACTCGCCAAAAGAATTCATGCGACTCGCCAAAAAATTCGTGCGATGCCAAAGAGGCGTTCATACGCCAGCACGCGAAAAAAATTCACCGTGCCCGCCAACAATTCATGCGACTCGCCAAAAGAATTCATGCGACTCGCCAAAATTTTCATGTGGCCCGCCAAAAGAATTCATGCGACTCGCCAAAAGAATTCATGCGACTCGCCAAATTCATGATTCGCCAAAAGAGTCGCAAAAAGAAATTCATGCGACCTGCCAAAAAATTCGCGGCCCATAAAAAGTTCCCGGCATGGACTCGCCAAAAGAATTCATGCGACTCGCCAAAAGAGTTCATGCGGCCCGCCAAAGAATTCATGCTACTCGCCAAAGAATTCATGCCATGCGGCTCGCCAAAAGAATTCATGCGACTCGCCAAAAGAATTCATGGCCAGCCAAAGACTCGCGACAAAGAGTTCATGCGGTCGCCAAAAGAATTCATGCCACTGAAAATTCTCGCCAAAAGAATTCATGCGACCGCCAAAAGAATCTATGCGGCCCGCCAAAGAATTCATGCGACTCGGCAAAATAATTCATGCGACTCAAAGAATAAAAAGAATTCATGCGACTCGCCAAAAGAATTCATGCGACTCGCCCAAAGAATTCATGCGACTCGCCAAAGATTTCATGCGGCCCGCCAAAGAATTCATGCGACTCGCCAAAGAGTTCACTCGCGGCCCATGCGACCTCGAATTCATACGACGCTAAGACTCGCCAAAAAAGTTCATGCGACCCGCCAAAGAATTCATGCGACTCATAAAAAGAATTCGTGCGACTCGCCCAAAGAGTTCATGGCCCGCCAAAAGATTCAGCGACCGCCAAAAGATTCATGCGACTCGCCAAAAAATTCATGCGGCCCGCCAAAAGAATCATGCGACTCGCCAAAAGAACGCCACTCGCAAAAAATTCATTGCGGCCCGCCAAAAGAATTCAGCGCGACTCGCCAAAAGATTCATGCGGCTCAGCCAAAAAGAATTCATGCGGCCGCCAAAAGACCCATACGACTCATAAAAGAATTCATGCCACTCGCCAAAATTCAGCCGGCCGCCAAAAAGAATTCATGCGACCCGCCAAAAGAGTTCATGCCACCCGCCAAAATTCATGCAACTCGCCAAAATAATTCATGCGACTCGCCAAAAAAAAAGTTCATGCTGCTCGCCAAAGAAATTCTGCGACTCGCCAAAAAAGTTCATGCGCTCGCCAAAGAATTCATGCGACTCGCCAAAAGAATTCATGCGGCCCGCCAAAAGAATTCATGCGACTCGCCAAAAAGAGTTCATGCGGCCCGCCAAAAATCGTGACTCGCCAAAAATAATTCATGCGGCTCGCCAAAAAATTCATGCTGCTCAAAAAGTTCATGCGGCCTGCCAAAAGAATTCATACGGCCGCCAAAGAATTCATGCGACTCGCCAAAAAGAATTCATGCGACTCGACTCGAATTCGCCAATTCATGCGACTCATAAAGAATTCATGCGACTCCAAAGAGTTCCAAAAAGAATTCATACGACTCGCTAAAAAGAATTCATGCGACCGCCGAAAAGAATTCATGCGACTCGGTCTGCAAAAGAATTCATGCGGCCGCAAAAGAGTTCATGCGACTCGCCAAAAGAGTTCATGCGGCCCGCCAAAATAATTCATGCGACTCGCAAAAAGTTCATTCAGCCAAAAGAATTCATGCCCGCCAAAAGAGTCTTCATGCCACGCCCAAAATTCATGCGACCCAAAAAAAGAATTCATGAGTTCTCGCCAAAAAAGTTCATGCAGCCCGCCAAAAGAATTCATGCGGCTCGCCAAAGAGTTCGGCGTGGCCCGCCAAAGAATTCATGCGACTCGCCAAAAGAATTCATGCGACTCGCCAAAAAAGAATTCATGCGACCCCGCATTAAAAGAGTTCATGCGGCCCGCCAAAAGAATTCATGCGACTCGCTCGAAAGAAATCATGCGGCCCGCCAAAAGAATTCATGCGACTTCGCCAAAAAGAATTTGTATGCAACTCGCCAAAGAATTCATGCGGCCCGCCAAAAGAATTCATGCGACTCGCCAAAGAATTCATGCGGCTCGCCAAATTCATGACTGCCAAAGAGTTCATGCGGCCCGCCAAAAGAATTCATGCGACTCGCCAAAGAGTTCATGGCCTGCCAAAAGAATTCATGCGACTCGCCAAAGAATTCATGCGGACTCCGCCAAAAGAGTTCATGCGGCCCGCCAAAAGAATTCATGCGGCCCGCCAAAGAATTCATGCGTGACTCGCCAAAAGAATTTATGCGACTTTAAAAGAATTATGACCCGCCAAAAGAATTCATGCGGCCTGCCAAAAAGAATTCATGCGACTCGCCAAAGAATTCATGCGACTCGCCAAAGAATTCATGCGGCCTGCCAAAAAGAGTTCATGCGCCCGCCAAAGAATCATGCGACTCGCCAAAAGAATTATGCGACTGCCAAAAGAATTACGTAAATCGCCAAAGTTCATGCGGCCTGCCAAAAGAATTCATGCGACCCGCCAAAAGAGTTCATGCGGCCCGCCAAAAGAATTCATGCGACTCGGCCAAAGAGTTCATGCGACTCGCCAAAGAATTCATGCGACTCGCCAGTGAATTCATGTGACTTCGCCAAAAGAATTCATGCGATCTAAAGAGTTCATGCGGCCGCCAAAAGAGTTCATGCGGGTCGCCAAAGAGTTCGATTCTGCCAAAAGATGCGACTCGCCAAAAGAATTCATGCGACCGCCAAAAGAATCATGCGGCCCGCCAAAGAGTTCATGCGCCTGCCAAAGAATTCATGCGGCCCGCCAAAGAATTCATGCGACTCGCCAAAAGAATTCATGCGACCGTGCAGTTCATGCGACTGGACTCTGCCAAAAGAATTATGCGACCGCCAAAAGAATTCATGCTGCTCGCCAAAGAATCTGCGCACCCGCCAAAGAATTCATGCAGCCTCGCCCAAAGAATCTCATGCGGCCGCCAAAGAATTCGACTCGCCAAAAGATTTCATGCGACCCGCGCCAAGAATTCATGACCTGCCAAAAGAATTCATGCGACTGGCAAAAGAGTTCATGCGGCCCGCCAAAAGAATTCATGCGACCTGCCAAAGAGTTCATGCGGTTCGCCAAAAGAGAGTTCATGCGACTCGCCAAGAAATCATGCGACTCGCCAAAAGAATTCGCGCGACTCGCCAAAAGAATTCGCCACTGCTAAAATTCATGCGGCCCGCCAAAAGAATCTATGGCCCGCCAAAAGAGTTCATGCGGTTTGCGAAAAGAATTCACTGCGCCAAAAGAATCTAAAAAAGAGTTCATGCGGCCCGCCAAAAGAATCTATGCGACTCGCCAAAAAGAATTCATGCGGCCCGCCAAAAGAATTCTTATGCCAAAGAACGCGACCAAAAAGAGTTCATGCGGGCCCGCCAAAAGAATTCACATGCGACTAAAATAATTCATGCGACTCGCCAAAAGTTCACATGCGTTGCTCGCCAAAAGAATTCATGCGACTCGCCAAAGAGTTCATGCAGCCTGCCCAAAGAATTCATGCGACTCACAAAGAATTCATGCGACCAAGCAAAAGAATTCATGCGACCTGCTGGTAAGAATTCATGCGACCCGCCAAAGGAATTCATGCGACTCGCCAAAGAGTTCATGCGGCCTGCCAAAAGAATTCATGACCTCGCCAAAAGAATTCATGGCCCGCTGAAGAATTCATGTGACCTGCCAAAAGAATTCATGCGGCCCGCCAAAGAATTCATGCGACCGCCAAAAGAATTCATGCGACTCGCCAAAAGAGTTCGCGCGGCCCGCCAAAGAGTTCATGACTCCGCCAAAAGAGTTCATGGCCCGCCAAAGAATTCATGCGACTCGCAAAAGAATTACGCAGCCTGCCAAAGAATTCATGCGGGTTCGCCAAAGAATCATGCGACTCGCCAAAAGAATTGGCGCGACTGCCAAAAGAATTATGCGGCCCGCCAAAAGAAATTCATGTTACTCGCCAAAAGAATTCATGCGGCCCGCCAATGAATTCATGCGACTGCCAAAGAATTTACGCGACTTCCGCCAAAGAATTCATGCGACTGCCAAAAGAATTCGCGACTCGCCAAAGAGTTCATGCGTGGCCCGCCAAAGAATTCATGCGACTCGCCAAAAGAATTCATGCGGCCCGCCAAAGAATTCATGACCTCGCCAAAAGAATCTCATGCGACCCGCCAAAAGAATTCATGCGGCCCGCCAAAAGAATTTGGCGTGACTCTGCCAAAAGAGTTCATGCGGCCCGCCAAAAGAATTCATGCGACTCGCCAAAAAGTTCATGCGGCATACGACTTAAAAAGAATTCATGCGACTCGCCAAAAGAGTTTAATGCCACCCGCCAAAATTCATGCGACTAAAAGAATTTCATGCGATTCGCCAAAGAGTTCATGCGGCGACTCGCCAAAAAGAATTCCATGCGACTCGCCGAGTTCATGCCTCGCCAAAAGAATCTATGCGGCTCGCCAAAAGAATTCATGCGACTCGCCAAAAGAATTCATGCGACTCGCCAAAAAGTTCATGCGGCCTCAAAAAAAGAATTCATGCGACTCGCCAAAAAAATTCATGTGCCCGCCGACTCGCCAAAAGACTCGCCATTCGTGCGACTCGCCAAAAGAATTCATGCGACTCGCCAAAAAAATTCATGCGACATACGACTCAAAAAGATTTCGCCGACTCGCTAAGAATTCGTACGACTCGCCATCTACTCGCAAATCGCCCAAAAAATCATGCGGACTCGCCAAAAAGAGTTCATGTGGCCCGCCAAAGAGTTCATGCGACTCGCCAAAAGAATTCATGCGCCCGCCAAAAGAATCTGCGTGACTCTCGCCAAAAGAATCATTATGCAGCCGCCAAAGAATCTACATGCGGCCCGCCAAAGAATTCATGCGATTCCGCCAAAAGAATGCACCGACTCGACAAAGAATTCATGACTCCCGCCAAAGAATTCATGCGACTCGCCAAAAGAATTCATGCGACTCGCCAAAAGAGTTCATGCGGCCCGCCAAAGAATTCATGCGGCTCGCTTGAAGAAATTCATGCGACTCGCCAAAGAATTATGCGACTTCGCCAAAGAATTCATGGGTTCGCCAAAGAATTCATGCTACTCGCCAAAAGAATTCATGCGACTGCCAAAGAATTCATGCGACTCGCCAAAAGAATTCATGCGACCGCCAAAAGAATTCATGCGACTCGCCAAAGAGTTCATGGGCCGCCAAAGAAAGAACCCGCCAAGATCTATGACTGTCAGAATTCATGCGGGACTCGCCAAAGAATTCATGCGGGTCGCCAAAAGAGTTCATGCGACTAAAGAATTCATGCGACTCGCCAAAAGAATTATGTGACTCGCCAAAGAATTCGTGACCCGACAAAAGAGTTCGCGTGGCCCGCCAAAGAATTCATGCGACCCGCCAAAAGAATTCATGCGACTGGCAAAAGAATTCATGCGGCCCGCCAAAAGAATTCATGCTACTCGCCAAAAGAATTCATGTGGCCCGCCAAAAGAATTCATGCGACCGCCAAAAGAGTTCATAAGGCCCGCCAAAAGAATTCATGCGACTCGCCAAAGAATTCATGCGACTCGCGAAAGAAGTTCGAATTCATGCGGCCGCCAAAAGAATTCATGGACTCGCTGTAAGAAACCATGCGACCGCCAAAAGAATTCATGCGACTCGCCAAAAGATTCATGCGACCCGCCAAAAATGATGGCCCGCCAAAGAATTCATGCGACCTGCCAAAGAATTCATGCGACTCGCCAAAAGAATTCATGCAAAAAGAATTCATGCCAAATCGCCAAAAGTTCATGCGGCCCGCCAAAGAATTCATGCGACCGCCAAAGAGTTCATGCGGCTCGCCAAATTCATGCGACTCCGCCAAAGAATTCATGCGACCCGCCAAAAGAATTCATGCGACTCGCCAAAGAGTTCATGCGGCCCGCCAAAAGAATTCATGCGACCACAAAAGAGTTCATGCGGCCCGCCAAAGAATTCATGCGACTCGCCAAAGAGTTCATGCGGCCCGCCAAAAGAATTCATGCTACTCGCCAAAAGAATTCATGCGCCTAAAAAATTCATGCGACCCGCCAAAAGAATTCATGCGACTCGCCAAAAGAATTCATGCGGCCCGCCAAAAGAATTCATGCGACCCGGCCAAAAGAAATCATTCATGCGACTCGCCAAAAGAATTCATGCGACTCGCCAAAGAGTTCATACGGCCCGCCAAAAGATTCGCGACTCGCCTGCAGTTCATGCGGCCCGGCCAAAAGAATTCATGCGACTCGCCAAAGAATTCATGCGGCGCGCCAAAATTCATGCGACTCGCCAAAAGAATCTCATGCGAATTCATAAGACTCGCCAAAAAGAATTCATGCGACTCGCCAGAGTCATGCGACTCGCCAAAAGAATTCATACGACTCGACAAAGAGTTCTTGGGCCGCCAAAGAATTCATGCGACTCGCCAAAAGAATTCATGCGACCGCCAAAAGAATTCATGCGACTCGCCAAAAGAATTCATGCGACTCGCCAAAGAGTTCATGCGACTCGCAAAAAAATTCATGCGACTCGCCAAAAGAATTCATGCCATTCGCCAAAAGAATTCATGCGACTCGCCAAAAAAAATTCATGCGACTCGCCAAAAGAATTCATGCGACTCAAAGAATTCATGCGGCCCGCCAAAGAATTGGCGCGACTCGCCAAAGAATTCATGCGACTGCCAAAAGAATTCATGGACTTCCAAAGAATTCATGCGGGCCCGCCAAAAGAATTCATGCGGCCCGCCAAAAGAATTCATGCGACTCGCCAAAGAGTTCATGCGGCCAAAAGAATTCATGCGACTCGCCAAAGAATTCATGACCCGCCAAAGAATTCATGCGACTCGCCAAAGAGTTCATGCGGCCCGCCAAAAGATTCATGCGGGTCAAAAAAGAGTTCATGCGGCCCGCCAAAAGAATTCATGCGACTCGCCCAAAGAATTCATGCGACTCGCCAAAAGAATTCGCGACTCGCCAAAAGAATTCATGCGATCGCCAAAGAGTTCGCGTGGCCGCCAAAGAATCATGGGACTCGCCAAAGAATTCATGCGACTGCCAAAGAATTCATGCGATCGCCAAAGAGTTCATGCGGTCCGCCAAAAGAATTCATGCGATTCGCCAAAAAAAATACTGACCATAAAAGAATTCACGACTCGCCAAAAGAATTCATGCGGCCTCGCCAAAAGAGTTCATGCGACTCGGCGACTCGCCAAAAAAGAATTCATGCGACTCGCCCGCCAAAAAATCATGCGACTCGCCAAAAGAATTCATGCCATTCGCCAAAAAATTCATGCGACTCGCCAAAAGAATTCATGCAGCTCGCCAAACGAGTTCATGCGCCCGCCAAAAATTCATGCGACTCACGCAGCCAGCGTTCAAAAAATTCATGCGACTCGCCAAAAAGAATTCATGCGACTCGCCAAAAAGTTCATGCGGCCGCCATGCAACTCGCCGAAAAAAGTTCATACGACTCGCCAAAGAGTTCATGCGGCTCGCCAAAAAAATTCCATGCGACTCGCCAAAAAGAATTCATGCGGCCCGCCAAAAAGAATTCAGCGCAAACTCGCCAAAAAGGAATTCATGCGACTCGCCAAAAGAATTCATGCGACTCGCCAAAAATTCATGCGACTCGCCAAAAAAGAGTTCATGCGACCCGCCAAAAAGAATTCATGCGACTCGCCAAAAGTTCATGCGCCGCCCAAAAACAAAAAAGAAGTTCATGCAGCCCTTAAAGACCGCCAAAAGAAGAACTCATAAAAGAATTCATACGACTCGCCAAAAGAACTCATGCGACTCGCCAAAAGAATTCATACGACTCTGTAAAAAGAATTCATACGACTCAAAAAAGAGTTCATGCGGCCCGCCAAAAAGAATTCATGCGACTCGCCAAAAGGCGACTCAAAAAAGTTCATGCGACTCGCCAAAAAAATTCATGCAGACTCGCCAAAAGAATTCATACGGCCCTTAAAAAAATTCATGCGACTCGCCAAAAGAATTCATGCGACTCGCCAAAAAGAATTCATGCGACTCGCCAAAAAGAATTCATGCGACTCATAAATTCATGCAGCCCGCCAAAAAAAATTCATGCGACTCGCCAAAAAGAATTCATGCGACTCGCCAAAAAAGAATTCATGCGACTCGCCAAAAGAATTCATGCGACTCGCCAAAAAGAATTCATGCGACTCCGCCAAAAAGAATTCATGCGACTCGCCAAAAAGAATTCATGCGGCCCGCCAAAAAAAATTCATGCGACTCGCCAAAAAATTCATGCGACTCGCAAAAAGAATTCATGCGACTCGCCAAAAGGTTCATGCGGCCCGCAAAAAATTCATGCGACTCGACAAAAAATTCATGCAGACCGCCAAAAGAATTCATGCGACTCGCCAAAAAATTCATACGACTCGCCAAAAAGAATTTCATGCGACCCGCCAAAAGAATTTGCTCGCCAAAGAAATTCATCGACATCGGCCGCAAAAGAATTCATGCGGCCCGCCAAAAAATTCATGCGACTCGCCAAAAAAAATTCATGCGACTCGCCAAAAAGAATTCATACGACTCGCCAAAAAAACTCGCCAAAAATTCATGCGACTCGCCAAAAAGTGCGACGCCAAAATTCATGCGGCTCGCCAAAAGAATTCATGCGACTCGCCAAAAGAGTTCATGCGGCTCGCCAAAGAATTCATGCGACTCGCCAAAGAATTCATGCGACTGCCAAAGAATTATGCGATTTCGCCAAAAGAATTATGCGACTTCGCCAAAGAGTTCGCGGCCCGCCAAAAGAATTCGCATGACTCGCCAAAAGAATTCATGCGGCCTGCCAAAAAGAATTCATGCGGGTTCGCCAAAGAATTCATGCGACTCGCCAAAAGATCTGGCGGCCCGCCAAAGAATTCATGCGATCCGCCAAAGAATTCATGCGACCGCCAAAGAATTACGCGACTGCCAAAAGAATTCATGCGGCCCGCCAAAAGAATTCATGCGACCCGCCAAAAGAATTCATGCCACTCGCCAAAGAGTTCATGCGGCCCGCCAAAAGAATTCCATGTGACTCCGCCAAAAAGTTCGCGTTCATGGCCAAAAGAATTCATGCGACTCGCCAAAAGAATTCATGCGACTCGCCAAAAAAGAATTCATGCGACTCGCCAAAAGAATTCATGTGACCCGCCAAAAAGAATTCATGCGACTCGCCAAAAAAAATTCATGCGACTCGCCAAAATTCATGCGACCGCATGTCTGACTCGCCAAAAGAATTCATGCGGCTCGCCAAAAGAATTCATGCGGCCCGCCAAAAAAGATTCATGCGACTCGCCAAAAGAATTCATGCGACTCGCCAAAAGAGTTCATGCGACTCGCTCAAAAATTCATGCGACTCGCCAAAAAGAATTCATGCGACCGCCAAAAAGAATTCATGCGACTCGCCAAAAAAATTCATGCGACCCGCCAAAAAAATTCATGCGACTCGCCAAAAAGAATTCATGCGACTCGGCAAAAAGAATTCGCGACTCGCCAAAAAGAATTCATACGACTCGCCAAAAAGAATTCATGCGACTCGCCAAAAGAATTCATGCGGCCCGCCAAAAGAATTCATGCGACCCGCCAAGAGTTCATGCGACTCGCCAAAAGAATTCATGACTCCCGCCAAAAGAATTATGCGACTCGCCAAAGAGTTCATAAACCCGCAAAGAATTCATGCGACTCTGCCAAAGAGTTCATGCGGCCCGCCAAAAGAATTCACGACTCGCCAAAAGAATTTATGACCTCGCCAAAGAAATATGGGCTGCCAAAATTCATGCGGCCCTGCCAAAAGAATTCATGCGACCTCGTCAAAGAGTTCATACGGCTCGCCAAAAAGAAATATGCGACTCGCCAAAGAATTATGCGACTCTGCTAAAAGAATTCATGCCACCTGCCAATAGAATTCAGCCCGCCAAAAGAATTACGCGACTCTCCAAAGAATTCATGCGACCTCGGCAAAAAGAGTTCATGCGACTCGGCCAAAAGAATCTATGACCTGCCAAAGAATTCATGCGACTCGCTAAAAAGAATTCATGCGAATTCGCCAAAAGAGTTCATGCGGCCCGACAAAAGAATTCATGCGACTCGCCAAAAAAGTCTTTATGCGGCCCGCCAAAGAATTCATGCGACCTGCCAAAAGAGTTCATGCGGGCCCGCCAAAAGAATTCGCGACTCGCCAAAATTCATGCGGCCCGCCAAAGAATTCATGCGACTCGCCAAAGAGTTCATGCGATCGCCAAAGAATTCATGCGGCCCGCCAAAGAATTCATGCGGCCTGCCAAAAGAATTCATGACCTCGCCAAAAGAATTCATGCGACTCGCCAAAGAGTTCATGCGACTCGCCAAAGAATTCATGCGGCTCGCCAAAAGAATTCATGGACTCGCCAAAGAATTCATGACTCGCCAAAAAGAATCTTATGCGAATCGCCAAAAGAATTCATGCGGCCCGCCAAAGAGTTCATGCGGACTCGCCCAAAGAATTCGCGCGACTCGCCAAAGAATTCATGCGGCCGCCAAAAGAATTATGCGGCCCGCCAAAGAGTTCATGCGACTCGCCAAAGAATTCATGCGACCGCCAAAAGAGTTCATGCGGCCTGCCAAAAGAGTTCTGTGGCCCGCCAAAAGAATTCATGGCCCGCCAAAGAATTCATGCGACTCGCCAAAAGAATCATGCGACTCGCCAAAAGACCTCATGCGGCTCGCCAAAAGAATTCATGCCACCTGCCAAAGAGTTCATGTGGCCTGCCAAAGAATTCATGCGACTCGCCAAAAGAGTTCATGGTTCGCCAGCAATTCATGCGATTCACGAAAGAATTCGCGACCTGCCAAAAGAATTCATGCGACCTGCCAAAACAGTTCATGCGGCTCCGCCAAAAGAATTATGCGACCTGCCAAGAGTCTATGCGGTTCGCCAAAAGAATTCACGCGACTCGCCAAATAATTCATGCGACTCACAAAAGAGTTCATGCTCGCCAAAAGAATTCATGCGATCGCCGCAAAGAGTTCATGCAGCCCGCCCGAAGAATTGCGACCGCCAAAAGAATTCATGCGACTCGCCAAAAATTCATGCGACTCGCCAAAAAAATTCATGCGACTCAAAAAAATTCATGCGACTCGCCAAAAAAATTCATGCGACCCGCCAAAAAATTCATGCGACTCATGCGACTCGCCAAAAGATTCTGCGACTCGCCAAAAATTCATGCGACTCGCCAAAAGAATTCATGCGACTCGCCAAAAGAATTCATGCGCCAAAAAAATTCATGCGACTCGCCAAAAAGAATTCATGCGACTCGCCAAAAAAATTCATGCGACCCGCCAAAAAAATTCATGCGACTCGCCAAAAAAAAATTCATGCGACCCGCCAAAGATGCGACTCGCCAAAAGAATTCATGCGACTCGCCAAAAAGAATTCATGCGACTCGCCAAAAGAATTCATGCGACTCGCCAAAAAGAATTCATGCGGCCCGCCAAAAAAAATTCATGCGACTCGCCAAAAGAATTCATGCGACTCGCCAAAAAATTCATGCGACTCGCCAAAGAATTCATGCCTCGCCAAAAGAATTCATGCGACCTCAAAAGAATTCATGCGACTCGCCAAAGAATTCATGACCCGCCAAAAAGAATTCATGCGACCTCGCCAAAAGAATTGGCGCGGCCCGCCAAAGAATTCATGCGACTCGCCAAAAGAATTCATGCGACTCGCCAAAAGAAATCATGCGACCCTCCAAAAGAATTCATGCGGCTCTCGCCAAAGAATTCATGCGAATCTTGCGACTCAAAAAGAATTCAGTGCGATCGCCAAAGAGTTCATGCGGCCCGCCAAAAGAATTCATGCGACTCGCCAAAGAGTTCATGCGGCCAAAAGAAAATCGCTAAAGAATCTCATGCGACTCGCCAAAAGAATTCATGCGACTCGCCAAAAAGTTCATGCGATCGCCAAAGAATTCATGCGACTCGCCAAAAGAATTCATGCGGCCTGCCAAAAAGAATCTCATGCGGACTCGCCAAAGAGTTCATGCGGCTCGCCAAAAAGTTCATGCGGCCCGCCAGAAGTTCATGCGACTCGCCAAAAGAATTCATGCGACTCGCTAAAAAGATTTCATGCGACTCGCCAAAAGAGTTCATATGTGGCCCGCCAAAGAATTCATGGGCCCGCCAAAAGAATTGGCGCGGCCCGGATAAAGAGTTCATGCGACCTGCCAAAAGAATTCATGCGACTCGCCAAAGAATTACGCGACTCTGCCAAAGAATTATGCGACTCATGCGGCAAAGAATTCATGCGGCCCGCCAAAGAATTCATGCGATTCGCCAAAAGAATTCGCGACTGAAAAGAATTCATGCGATCGCCAAAAGAGTTCTATGCGGCCCGCCAAAAAGAATTCATGCGACTCGCCAAAAGAAACTGCCAGCATCCATGGCTCGCCAAAGAATTCATGCGGCTCGCCAAAGAGTTCATGCGACTCGCCAGCAATTCAGTGCGGCCTCGCCAAAAGAATTCATGCGACTGGCCAAAAGAGTTCATGCGAATCGCCAAAAGTTCATGCGACTCGCCAAAAAAATTCATGCGACTCGCCAAAAAAAGAATGAAAAGTTCATGCGACTCGCCAAAAAGAATTCATGCGACTCGCCAAAAGAATTCATGCGGCCCGCCAAAAAGATTCATGCGACTCGCCAAAAAATTCATGCGACTCGCCAAAATTCATGCGGCCCGCCAAAAAGAATTCATGCGACTCGCCAAAGAATTCATACGACTCGCCAAAAAAGAATTCATGCGACTCGCCAAAAACTCGCCAAAAAATCGCCAAAAAAATTCATGCGACCCGCCAAAAAGAATTCATGCGACTCGCCAAAAAATTCATGCGACTCGCCAAAAATTTCATGCAGACTCGCCAAAAGAATTCATGCGACCCGCCAAAAAATTCATGCGACTCGCCAAAAAAAGAATTCATGCGGCCCGCCAAAAAGAATTCATGCGACTCGCCAAAAAGAGTTCATGCGGCCCGCCAAAAATTCATGCGACTCGCCAAAAAGTTCATGCGACTCGCCAAAGAATTCATGCGACTCGCCAAAAAGAATTACTACTCGCCAAAAATTCTGTACTGCCAAAAAAATTCATGCGGCCGCAAAAGAATTCATGCGACGCGAAAAGAATTCATGCGGCTCGCCAAAAGAATTCGTACGACTCGCCAAAGAGTTCATGTACCCGCCAAAAAATTCATGCGACTCGCCAAAAAATTCATGCGGCCATAAAAATTCATGCGGCTCGCCAAAAAGAATTCATGCGGCCCGCCAAAAAGAATTCATGCGACTCGCCAAAAAAATTCGCCGCTCGCCAAAAAAAGAATTCGCGACTCGCCAAAAAAAATTCATGCGACTCGCCAAAAGAATTCATGCGGCCCTTAAAGAATTCTGCGACTCGCCAAAGAGTTCATGCGACTCGCCAAAGAATTCATGCGCGACTCGCCAAAGAATTCATGCAACCCGCCAAAAAAGAATTCATGGCCCGCCAAAAGTGTACGAATTAAAAAGAATTCATGCGACTCGCCAAAAAAGAATTCATGCGGCCCGCCAAAAGAATTCATGCGACTCGCCAAAAGAATTCATGGCCCACTCGCCCGCCAAAGAATTCATGCGGCCTCGCCAAAAATTCATGCGACTCGCCAAAAGAGTTCATGCGGCCCGCCAAAGAATTCATGCGACTCGCCAAAAGAATTCATGCGACTCGCCAAAAATTCATGCGACTCGCCAAAGAATTCATGCGACCGCCAAAAGAGTTCATGCGACTCGCCAAAAGAATTCATGCGACTCGCCAAAAGAATTCATGCGACTCGCCAAAAAGAATTCATGCAACCCGCCAAAAATTCATGCGGCCCGCCAAAAAGAATTCATGCGACTCGCCAAAAGAATTCATGCGACTCGCCAAAAAGAATTCATGCGACCCGCCAAAGAGTTCATGCGACTCGCCAAAAATTCATTCGACTCGCGCATACGACTCGCCAAAAAATTCATGCGACTCGCCAAAAGAGTTCATGCGACTCGCCAAAAGAATTCATGCGACTCGCCAAAAGAATTCATGCGACTCGCCAAAGAATTCATGCGGCCCGCCAAAAAGAATTCATGCGACTCGCCAAAAGAATTCATGCGACTCATAAAAGAATTCATGCGACTCGCCAAAAGAATTCATGCGGCCCGCCAAAAAGAATTCATGCGACTCGCCAAAGTTCATGCAAAAAAAATTCATGCGGCCCGCCAAAAATTCATGCAAATCGCCAAAAAGTCGACTCGCCAAAAAATTCATGCGACTCGCCAAAAGAGTTCATGCGACTCGCCAAAAGACTCGCCAAAAAGTTCATGCGACCCGCCAAAAAATTCATGCAGCCCGCCAAAAGAATTCATGCGACCCGCCAAAAGAATTCATGCGACCCGCCAAAAGAAAAAAGAATTCATGCGACTCGCCAAAATGAGTTCATGCGGCCCGCCAAAAAAATTCATGCTACTCGCCAAAAATTCATGCGGCCCGCCAAAAAGAATTCATGCGACCCGCCAAAAGAATTCATTCGACTGCCAAAAGACTCCCGCCAAAAAAGAATTCATGCGACTCGCCAAAGAGTTCATGCGACTCGCCAAAAGAATTCAAAGCGGCCCGCCAAAAAAATTCATGCGACTCGCCAAAAAAAAACTCGCCATTCATGCGCCCGCCAAAAAAATTCATGCGACTCGCCAAATTCAAGACTCATAAAAAAGAGTTCATGCGACTCGCCAAAAGAATTTCATGCGGGCTCGCCAAAAGAATTCATGCGACTCGCCAAAAAAGAATTCATGCGACTCCAAAAGAATTCATGCGACTCGCCAAAAAATTCATGCGAATCCAAAAGAATTCATGCGAAAAAGAATTCATGCGGCCCGCCAAAAGAATTCATGCGACTCGCCAAAAAAAATTCATGCGGCCCGCCAAAGAATTCATGCGACTCGCCAAAGAGTTCATGCGGCCCCGCCAAAGAATTCATGCGACTCGCCAAAAGAATTCATGCGACTCGCCAAAAAATTCATGCGACTCGCCAAAAGAGTTCATGCGGCCCGCCAAAGAATTCATGCGACTCGCCAAAAAATTCATGCGGCCCGCCAAAAGAATTCATGCGACTCGCCAAAAGAATTCATGCGACCTGCCAAAGAATTCATGCGGCCCGCCAAAAGAATTCATGCGACTCGCCAAAAATGCGACCTTAAAAGAATTCATGCGACTCGCCAAAAAAATTCATGGCCCCGCCAAAAAGAATTCATGCGACTCGCCAAAAGAATTCATGCGCCTCGCCAAAAAAGAATTCATGCGACTCGCCAAAAGAATTCATGCGGCCCGCCAAAGAATTCATGCGACTCGCCAAAAGAATTCATGCGACTCGCCAAAAGATTCATGCGACATGCGCCAAAAGAATTCATGCGACTCGCCAAAGAATTCATACGACTCGCCAAAAATTCATGCGACTCGCCAAAATAATTCATGCGAGTTCATCGCCAAAAGAATTCATGCGACTCGCCAAAAAATTCATGCGACTCGCCAAAAAAGAATTCATGCGACTCGCCAAAAATTCATGCGGCCCGCCAAAAAGAATTCATGCGACTCGCCAAAAGAATTCATGCGACTCGCCAAAAGAATTCATGTGCGACTCGCCAAAAATTCATGCGACTCGCCAAAAAAATGCGACTCGCCAAAAGAATCATGCAGCCCGCCAAAAAGAAATTCATGCGGCCCGCCAAAAGAATTCATGCGACTCGCCAAAGAATTCATGCGACTCGCCAAAAGAATTCATGCGGCTCGCCAAAAGAATTCATGCGACTCGCCAAAAGAGTTCATGCGGCCGCCAAAAGAATTCATGCGACCAGCAAGAGTTCATGCGGCCCGCCAAAAGAATTCATGCGGCCCGCCAAAAAATTCATGCGACTCGCCAAAAAATTCATGACTCGCCAAAAAGAATTCATGCGGCCCGCCAAAAAATTCATGCGACTCGCCAAAAAGGTCATGTTTCATGCGACTCGCCAAAAAGAATTCATACGACTCGCCAAAAGAATTCATGCGACTCGCCAAAAGAATTCACTCGCAAAGCGGCCCGCCAAAAAAATTCGCACTGCAACCCGCCAAAAAGACATGCGGCCCGCCAAAAAAATTCATGCGGCTCGCCAAAAAGAATTCATGCGACTGCCGAAAGAGTTCGCGGCCCGCCAAAAGAATTCATGCGACTCGCCAAAGAACCGCGACTCGGCCAAAAGAATTCATGCGACTCGCCAAAGAATTCATGTAGCCTGCCAGAATTCATGTGGTCTGCCAAAGAATTCATGCGACTCGCCAAAAGAATTCATGCGACTCGCCAAAGAACGCGTGGCCTGCCAAAAAGAATCTGCGACTCGCCAAAGAGTTCATGCGGCCTGCCAAAAGAATTCATGGCCTGCCAAAAGAATTCATGCGACTCACAAAAGAATCTATGCGACTCGCCAAAAGAGTCTATGCGACTCGCCAAAGAATTCATGCGACCTGCCAAAAGAATTCATGCGACTCCGCCAAAGAATTCATGCAGTCAAAAGAATTCATGCGGCCCGCTTAAAGAATTCATGCGACTCGCCAAAGAGTTCATGCGGCCCGCCAAAAGAATTATGCGGCCCGCCAAAAGAATTCATGCGACTCGCCAAAAGAATTCATGCGACCCGCCAAAAAATTCATGCGACCCGCCAAAAGAGTTCATGCGACTCGCCAAAAGAATTCATGCGGCCTGCCAAAAGAATTCATGCTACTCGCCAAAAGAGTTCATGCGACTCGCCAAAAGAATCCCATGCGACTGCGAGTTCTCCCGCCAAAAATTTCACTCGCCAAAAATCTCGCCCAAAAAATTCATGCGACTCGCCAAAAAAAGAATTCATGCGACTCGCCAAAAGAATTCATGCGACTCGCCAAAAAATTCATGCGACTCGCCAAAAGAATTCATACGACTCGCCAAAAAATTCAGCGACTCAAAAAAGAATGCGACTCGCCAAAAAAGTTCATGCGGCCCGCCAAAAAGAATTCATGCGACTCGCAAAAAGATTCATGCGACTCGCCAAAAGAATTCAGCGACTCGCCAAAAAAATTCATGCGACCCGCCAAAAGAATTCATGCGACTCATAAAAAAGTTCATGCGACTCATAAAGAATTCAGCCGCCAAAAGAGTTCATGCGGCCCGCCAAAAATCTATGCGACTCGCCAAAGAGTTCATGCGGCCCGCCAAAAATTCATGCTTTACTCGCCAAAAGAATTCATGCGGCTCATAAAGAATTCATGCGACTCGCCAAAAGGAATTCATGCGACTCGCGAAAAAAATTCATGCGACTCGTCAAAAAAGAAATTCATGCGACTCGCCAAAAGAATTCATGCGACTCGCCAAAGAATTCATGCAGCCCGCTGAAAAAATTCATGCGGCCCGTCAAAAGAATTCAGTGTGACCTCGCCAAAAATTCATGTGACTCGATAAAGGTGGCCCGCCAAAAAAATTCATGCGCCCGCCAAAGAATTAATACGACTCGGCAAAAAAGAATTCATGCGTGATCGCCAAAAAATTCCTGCGACTCGCCAAAAAAATTCGCCGAAGAATTCATGCGACTCGCCAAAGAGTTCATGCGGTCCGCCAAAAGAATTAATGTGACTCGCCAAAGATTCGCCGACTCGCGAAAAAGAATTTGCGCACTGCCAAAGAATTCACGACTCTCCAAAAAGTTCATGCAGCCCGCAAAAGAATTCATGCGGCCCGCCGAAAAATTCACGTGAGTCGGCAAAAGAGTTCGCGCGACCGCCAAAAGAATCATGCGACTCGCCAAAAAGAATTCAGACTCGCCAAAAGAGTTCATGCGGCTCGCCAAAAGAATTCATGCAAATCGCCAATAGAATTCATGCGACCGCGAAAAGAATTCATACGACTCGCCAAAAAAAAATTCGCGGCCGCCAAAAGAATCTGCGTGACTCGCCAAAAAGAATTCATGCGACCCGCCAAAAGAATTCATGCGAATCGCCAAAAAAAGTTCGCGGCCTGCCAAAAGAATTCATGCGACTCGCCAAAAAGAGTTCATGCGGCCCGCCAAAAGAATTCAGCGTATGCGACTCGCCAAAAAAAGAGTTCATGCGGCCCGCCAAAAGAATTCATGCGACCTCGCCAAAAAGATTCATGCGACTCGCCAAAAAAGAAATTCATGCGACCGCCAAAAGAGTTCGCGCTACTCGCCAAAATTCATACGACTCGCCAAAAGAGTTCTCGCCAAAAAGTGGCGACTCGCCAAAAAGAATTCATGACTCGCCAAAAAGAATTCATGGGACTCGCCAAAGAGTTCATGCGGCCGCCAAAAAATTCATGCGATCGCCAAAGATTCATGCGGGTCGGCAAAGGAATTCATGGACCATAAAAAGAATTCATGCGACTCGCCAAAGAATTCATGCGGCCCGCCAAAAAAGAGTTCATGCGACTCTCGCCAAAATAATTCATGCGACTCGCCAAAAGAATTCATGCTGCTCGCCAAAAATTCATGCAGCTCGCCAAAAGATTCATGCGGCCCGCCAAAAGAATTCATGCGACTCGCCAAAAGAATTCATGCGGCTCGCCAAAGAATTCATGCGGCCCGCCAAAAGAATTCATGCACGACTCGCCAAAAGAATTCATGCGACTCCAAAAGAATTACGCAAAAAGAATTCATGCGACCGCCAAAAGAATTCATGCGAATCGCCAAAGAATTCATGGACCCGCCAAAGAGTTCATGCGACTCATAAAGAGTTCATACGGCCCGCTGCCAAAAGGAATTCATGACTCGCCAAAGAATTCATGCGACTCGCCAAAAGAATTCATGCATTTCGCCAAAAAGTTCATGCGGCCCGCCAAAGAATTCATGCGACTCGCCAAAAGTTCATGCGGCCCGCCAAAAGAATTCATACGACTCGCCAAAAAAGTTCATGCGGCCCGAATTCATGCGACTCAAAAGAATTCATGCGACTCGCCAAAATCTGTTCAATTAAAGCCCGCCAAAAGAATTCATGCGACTCGCCAAAAGAATTCATGCGACTCGCCAAAAAAATTCATGACTCGCCAAAGAATTCATGCAAATCGCCAAAAAAATTCGTACGGCCCGCCAAAAAATTCATGCGACTCGCCAAAAGAATTTCGTCAAAAGAATTCATGCGACTCGCCAAAAGAATTCATGCGGCCCGCCAAAAGAATTCATGCGGCTCGCCAAAAGAATTCATGCGACTCGCCAAAAAAGAATTCATGCGACTCGCCAAAAGAATTCATGCGGCTCGCCAAAAGAATTCATGCGGCGCCAAAAGAATTCATGGCCCGCCAAAAGAATTCATGCGACTCGCGGCCCGCCAAAAGAATTCATGCGACTGCCCAAAAAAGTTCATGCGACCCAAAAAATTCGTACGACTTGCGAAAGAATTCGCGACTCGCCAAAAGAATTCATGCGACTCGCCAAAATGCGGCCCGGCCAAAAGAATTCATGCGGGCTCGCCAAAGAATTCATGCGACCCGCCAAAAAAATTCATGCGGCGCTCGCCAAGAATTCATGCGACTCGCGAAAAAGAATTCATGCGACCAAAAGAATCAATACGACTCGCCAAAAGAATTCATGCGGCCCGCCAAAAGAATTCATGCGACTCGCCAAAAAGAATTCATGCGACTCATCGCCAAAAGAATTCATGCGACTCGCCAAAGAATTCATGCGGCTCGCCAAAAGAATTCATGCGACTCGCCAAAGAAATCATGCGACTCGCCAAAAAAAAAGAATTCATGCGGCCGCCAAAAAGAATTCATGCGACTCGCCAAAAAGAATTCATGCGGCTCGCCAAAAAGAATTCATGCGACTCGCCAAAAGAGTTCATGCGGCCCGCCAAAAGAATTCATGCGACTCGCCAAAAAAAAAGAGTTCATGCGGCCCGCCAAAAAATTCATGCGACTCGCCAAAAAAGAATTCATGCGACCCGCCAAAAGAATTCATGCGACTCGCCAAAAGAATTCATGCGACTCGCCAAAAGAATTCATGCGACCCGCAAAATTCGCGGCCCGCCAAAGAATTCATGCGACTCGCCAAAAGAGTTCATGCGGCCCGCCAAAAGAATTCATGCGACTCGCCAAAAGCGTTCGCCAAAAGAATTCATGCGACTCGCCAAAAAATTCATGCGGCCCGCCAAAAAGAATTCATGCGACTCGCCAAAAGAATTCATGCGACTTCATGCGACTCTGCCAAAGAATTCACTCGACAAAAAGAGTTCATGCGGCCAAAAGAATTCATGCAGACTCGCCAAAAAGAATTCATGCGACTCGCCAAAAGAATTCATGGGACTCGCCAAAAGAATTCATGCGACTCGCCAAAAGAATTCATGCGGCCGCCAAAAGAATTCATGCGACTCGCCAAAAGTTCGAAAAGAATTCATGCGACTCGCCAAAAAGAATTCATGCGACTCGCCAAAAGTTCATGCGGCCCGCCAAAAGAATTCATGCGACTCGCCAAAAATTTAGTTCATGAATCGGCCTCGCCAAAGAATTCATGCGACTCGCCAAAAAAAGTTCATGCGGCCCGCCAAAAGAAAAAGAGTTCATGTGGACTCGCCAAAAGAATTCATGCGACTCACCAAAAAGTTCATGCGGCCTGCCAAAAGAATTCATGCGACTCGCCAAAAGAATTCATGCGACCGCCAAAAAGTTCATGCGACCCGCCAAAGAATTTTCATGCGACCCGCCAAATAATTCATGCGACTCGCCAAAAAAGAATTTCATGCGACTCGCCAAAAGAATTCATGCGACTCGCCAAAAAAGAAAAAGAATTCATGCGACTCGCCAAAAAGAATTCATGCGACTCGCCAAAAAGAATTCATGCGACCCGCCAAAAAGAATTCATGCGACTCGCCAAAAAAGAGTTCATGCGGCCCATAAAAAATTCATGCTACTCGCCTGCGACTCTGTAAAAAAGAATTCATGAATCTCGCGATCGCCAAAAGAATTCGCGACTCGCCAAAAGAATTCATGCGACTCAAAAAGTTCATGCGGCCCGCCAAAAAGAATTCATGCGACTCGCCAAAAAGAATTCATACGACTCGCCAAAAGAATTCATGCGACTCATAAAAGAGTCAAAAAAGTTCATGCAAATCGCCAAAAAAAGAATTCATGCGACCGCCAAAAAGAATTCATGCGACTCGCCAAAAGAGTTCATGCGACTCGCAAAAAGAGTTCATGCGGCGACTCAAAGAATTCATGCGACTCGCAAAAAATTCATGCGACTCGCGGCAAAGAGTTCATGCGGCCCGCCTGCAAGAATTCATGCGACTCGCCAAAAAATTCATGACCTCGCCAAAACCATGCGACCGCCAAAGAAATTCATGCGGCCCGCCAAAAGAATTCGCCGCCAAAAAGACCATGCGAATCGCCAAAAGAATTCATGCGACCCGCCAAAAAGAATTCATGCGACTCGCCAAAGAATTCATGCGACTCGCCAAAAAGAATTCATGCGACTCTGCCAAAAGAATTCATGCGGCCGCCAAAAAGAATTCATGCGACTCGCCAAAAGAATTCATGCGACTCGCCAAAAGAATTCATGCGACTCGCCAAAAAGAATTCATGCACCCGCCAAAGTCATGGCCTGCGAAAAAAGAATTCATGCGAAAAGAGTTCATACGAAAAAAGTTCATGCGGCCCGCCAAAAAGAATTCATGCGACTCGCCAAAAGAATTCATGCGACTCGCCAAAAAAGAATTCATGCGACTCCAAAAGAATCATGCGACTCGCCAAAAAAGTTCATGCGGCCCGCCAAAATTCATGCGACTCGACAAAAAGTTCATGCGGCTCCGCCAAAAAAATTCATCCGAATCGCCAAAAGAATTCATGCGGCCCGCCAAAAGAATTCATGCGACTCGCCAAAAGAGTTCATACGACTCGCCAAAAAGAATTCATGCGACTCGCAAAAAGAATTCATGCCCGCCAAAAGAATTCATGCGACTCGCCAAAGAAGTTCATGCGACTCGCCAAAAAAAGAATTCACTCGCGACCGCCAAAAATAATTCATGCGACCTCGCCAAAAAGAATTCATGCGACTCGCCAAAAGAATTCATGCGACTCGCCAAAAAAGAATTCATACTGACGACTCGCCAAAAAAAATCATGCGACTCATAAAAAGAATTCATGCGGCCCGCCAAAAAAAAATTCATGACTCTCGCCAAATTCATGCGACTCGCCAAAAATTCATGCGACTCGCCAAAAGAATTCATACGACTCGCCAAAAAATTCATGCGACTCGCCAAAAAATTCATGCGACTCGCCAAAAAATTCATGCGACTCGTAAAAAAGAATTCATGCAACTCGCCAAAAAAATTCATGCGACTCGCCAAAAAGAATTCATGCGACTCGCCAAAAAAATTCATGCGACTCAAAAAAGAATTCATGCGACTCGCCAAAAATTCATACGACCCGCCAAAAAGTTCATGCGACTCGCCAAAAAAGAATTCATGCGGCCCGCCAAAAATTCATACGACTCGGCAAAAGAATTCATGCGACTCGCCAAAGAATTCATACGACTCGCCAAAAGAATTCATGCGACTCGCCAAAAAATTCATGCGACTCGCCAAAGAGTTCATGCGGCCCGCCAAAAAGAATTCATGCGACTCGCCAAAAGAATTCATGCGACTCGCCAAAAAATTCATGCGACTCGCCAAAAGAATTCATGCGACTCGCCAAAAAATTCATGCGACCCGCCAAAAAGAATTCATGCGACTCGCCAAAAAAATTCATGCGACTCGCCAAAAAAAAGAATTCATGCGACTCGCCAAAAAGAATTCATGCGACTCGCCAAAAAAAATTCATGCGACTCGCATGCGACTCTTAAAAAAGAATTCATGCAAATCGCCAAAAAGTTCATGCGACCGCCAAAAGAATTCATGCGACTCGCCAAAAGAGTTCATGCGGCCCGCCAAAAGAATTCATGCGACTCGCCAAAAGAGTTCATGCGACCCGCCAAAAATTCATGCGACTCGCCAAAAAAAATTCATGCGACTCATCGCCAAAGAGTTCATGCGGCTCGCCAAAAAGAATTCATGACTCGCCAAAAGCCAAAGAATTCATGAATCGACTCGCCAAAAAATAATTCATGCGACTCGCCAAAAGAATTCATACGACTCGCCAAAAGAATTCATGCGACTCGCCAAAAGAATTCATGCGACCCGCCAAAAGAATTCATGCTCCCCGCCAAAAAGAATTCATGCGACTCGCCAAAGAATTCATGCGACTCGCCAAAAGAATTCATGCGACTCGCCAAAAAGAATTCATGCGACTCGCCAAAGAATTCATGCGACTCGCCAAAAAGATTCATGCGACTCGCCAAAAAGAATTCATGCGACTCGCCAAAAAGAATTCATGCGACTCGCCAAAAGAATTCATGCTCGCCAAAAGATTCATGAAAAAGAATTCATGCGACCCGCCAAAAAAATTCATGCGACTCGCCCATGCGACTCGCCAAAGAATTCATGCGACTCGCCAAAAATTCATGCGACTCGAAAGAATTCATGCGGCCCGCCAAAAAAAAGATTCATGCGGCCCGCCAAAAGAATTCATGCGACTCGCCAAAGAAATCATCATCGCGGCGACTCGCCAAAAGAGTTCATGCGACTCGCCAAAAAATTCATGCGACTCGCCAAAAGAATTCATGCGACTCGCCAAAGAATTCATCGCCAAAAGTTCATGCGACTCGCCAAAATTCATACGACTCGCCAAAAAGAATTCATGCGACTCGCCAAAAATTCATGCGACTCGCCAAAAAAGTTCATGACTGCCAAAAAGAAATTCGACTCGCCAAAAGAATTCATGCAGCCCGCCAAAAGAATTCATGCGACTCGCCAAAAGAATTCATGCGACTCGCCAAAAGAATTCATGCGACTCGCCAAAAAAAAAGAAGTCATGCAATCGCCAAAAGAATTCATCGCGGAAAAGAATTCCGCCAAAAAAATTCATGCGACTCGCCAAAAAAATTCATGCGGCCCGCCAAAAGAATTCATGCGACTCGCCAAAAGAATTCATGCGACCCGCCAAAAAGAATTCATGCGACTCGCAAAGAATTCATGCGACTCGCCAAAAGAATTCATGCGACTCGCCAAAAAGTTCATGCGGCCCGCCAAAAGAATTCATGCGACTCGCCAAAAAAGAATTCATGCGACCCGCCAAAAAATTCATCGCGAAAAGAATTCATTCGCCAAAAGAATTCATGCGACTCGCCAAAAGAGTTCATGCGGCCCGCCAAAAAAGAATTCATGCGACTCGCCAAAAAGTTCATGCGACTCGCCAAAAGAATTCATGCGACTCGCCAAAAGAATTCATGGGACTCGCCAAAAGAGTTCATGCGGCCCGCCAAAAGAATTCATGCGACTCGCCAAAAAAGAATTCATGCGACTCGCCAAAAGCCCGCTCGCCAAAAAAATTCATCGCGACTCGCCCGAAGAATTCATGCGACTCGCCAAAAAATTCATGCGACTCGCCAAAAGAATTCATGCGGCCCGCCAAAAAAATTCATGCGACTCGCCAAAAGAATTCATGCGACTCGCCAAAAATAATTCATGCGACTCGCCAAAAAAATTCATGCGACTCGCCAAAAGAATTCGCGAATCGCCTCGCCAAAATTCATGCGACTCGCCAAAAGAATTCATGCGACTCGCCAAAAAAAAAGAGTTCATGCGGCCCGCTAAAAAGAATTCATGCGACTCGCCAAAAAGAATTCATGCGACTCGCCAAAAAATTCATGCGACTCGCCAAAAGAATTCATGCGACTCGCCAAAAAGAATTCGACTCGGCCAAAAGAATTCATGCGACTCGCCAAAGAATTCATGCGACTCGCCAAAAGTTCATGCGGCCCGCCAAAAAAGAATTCATGCGACTCGCCAAAAGAATTCATGCGACTCGCCAAAAAGAATTCGTTCGCCAAAGAATTCATGCGGCCGCCAAAAGAATTCATGCGACTCGCCAAAAAATTCATGCGACTCGCCAAAAAAGAATTCATGCGACTCGCCAAAAATTCATGCGACTCGCCAAAAATTCATGCGACTCGCCAAAAATTCATTCGCCAAAAGAAATCGACGACTCGCCAAAAAAATTCATCACGGCCCGCCAAAAAAAATTCATGCGACTCGCCAAAAAGAATTCATGCGACTCGCCAAAAAATTCATGCGACTCGCCAAAAGTTCATGCGGCTCGCCAAAAGAATTCAAAAAAAAAGTTCATGCGACCCGCCAAAAGGAATTCATGCGACTCGCCAAAAAGTTCATGCGACTCGCCAAAAGAAATTCATGCGACTCACCAAAAGATTCATGCGACTCGCCAAAAAATCATTCTGCGACTCGCCAAAAGTTCATACGGCCCATAAAAAGAATTCATGCGACCCGCCAAAGAATTCATGCGACTCGCCAAAAGAATTCATGCGACTCGCCAAAAAATTCATGCGACTCGCCAAAAAGAATTCATGACTCGCCAAAGAATTCTCCAAAAAAAAATTCATGCGGCCCGCCAAAAGAATTCATGCGACTCGCCAAAAAGAATTCATGCGACTCGCCAAAAATTCTTCGGCCAAAAGACATCAAAAAAGAATTCATGCGACCCGCCAAAAAAATTCATGCGACTCGCCAAAAGAGTTCATGCGGCCCGAATTCATGCGAAAAAGAATTCATGCGACTCGCCAAAAAGTTCATGCGACTCGCCAAAAGAATTCATGCGACTCGCCAAAAACTCGGCCAAAAAGAATTCATGCGACTCGCCAAAATTCATGCGACTCGCCAAAAGAATTCATTCATGCGACTCGCCAAAAAAAATGCGACCGCCAAAAGAATTCATGCGACTCGCCAAAAAGAATTCATGCGGCCAAAAAAGAATTCATGCGACTCGCCAAAAAGAAATCATGCGACCCACTCGCCAAAAGAGTTCATGCGGCCCGCCAAAAGAATTCATGCGACTCGCCAAAAGAATTCATGCGCCAAAGAATCGCCAAAAAGAATTCATGCGACTCGCCAAAAGAATTCATGCGACTCGCCAAAAAGTTCATGCGACTCGCCAAAAGAATTCATGCGACTCGCCAAAAGAGTTTCATGCGACTCGCCAAAAAGAATTCATGCGACTCGCCAAAAGAATTCATGCGACTCGCCAAAAGAATTCATGCGACTCGCCAAAGAATTCATGCGACTCGCCAAAAAGAATTCATGCAGCCCGCCAAAAGAATTCATGCGACTCGCCAAAGAGTTCATGCGGCCCGCCAAAAGAATTCATGCGACTCGCCAAAAAGAATTCATGCGACTCGCCAAAAGAATGCGACTCGCCAAAAAGAATTCATGCGACTCGCCAAAAGAATTCATGCGACCCGCCAAAAGAATTCATGCGGCCCGCCAAAAAAGAATGCGACTCGCCAAAAGAATTCATGCGACTCGCCAAAAATTCATGCGACCCGCCAAAGAATTCATGCGACTCGCCAAAAGAATTCATGCGGCCCGCCAAAAGAATTCATGCGACTCGCCAAAAGTTCATGCGAATCGCCAAAAAAGAATTCATGCGACTCGCCAAAAGAATTCATGCGACTCGCGAAAAGAATTCATGCGACTCGCCAAAAAGAATTCATGCGACTCGCCAAAAGAATTCATGCGACTCCGCCAAAAAGAATTCCCGCCAAAGAATTCATGCGACTCGCCAAAAGAATTCATGCGACTCGCCAAAAAAAAAATGCGGCTCCGCCAAAAGAATTCATGCGACCCGCCAAAAAGAATTCATGCGACTCGCCAAAAAGAATTCATGCGACTCCAAAAAATTCATGCGACTCGCCAAAGAATTCATGCGACTCGCCAAAAGAATTCATGCGACTCGCCAAAAATTCATGCGACTCGCCATGCGACTCGCCAAAAAATTCATGCGACTCGCCAAAAAAATTCATGCGACTCGCCAAAAGAATTCATGCGACTCGCCAAAAAAATTCATGCGACTCGTCAAAAGAATTCATGCGACTCGCCAAAAGATTCATGCAAATCCGCCAAAAGAATTCATGCGACTCGCCAAAAGAATTCATGCGACTCATAAAAAGAATTCATGCGACTCGCGAGTTCATGCGGCCCGCCAAAAGAATTCATGCGGCCCGCCAAAAAATTCATGCGACTCGCAAAAAGAATTCATGCGACTCGGCAAAAGAATTCATGCGACTCGCCAAAAGAATTCATGCGACTCGCCAAAAAAATTCATGCGACCCGCCAAAAGAATTCATGCGACTCGCCAAAGAATTCATGCGACTCGCCAAAAAGAATTCATGCGACTCGCCAAAAATTCATGCGACTCGCCAAAAATTCATGCGGCTCGCCAAAAGAAAAGAATTCATGCGACTCGCCAAAAAATTCATGCGGCCCGCCAAAAGAATTCATGCGACTCGCCAAAAAAAATTCATGCGACTCGCCAAAAGAATTCATGCGACTCGCCAAAAAATTCATGCGCCCGCCAAAAAATTCATGCGACTCGCCAAAAAATTCATGCGGCCCGCATGCGAAGAATTCATGCGACTCGCCAAAAGAATTCATGCGACTCGCCAAAAAAATTCATGCGACTCGCCAAAAGAATTCATGCGACTCGCCAAAAATGCGAAAAATTCATGCGACTCGCCAAAAAATTCAAAAGAATTCATGCGACTCGCCAAAAGAATTCATGCGACTCGCCAAAAAAGAATTCATGCGCGACTCGCCAAAAGAATTCATGCGACTCGCCAAAAAAAATTCATACGACCCGCCAAAATTCATGCGACTCGCCAAAAAAGAATTCATGCGACTCGCCAAAATTCGCCGACTCGCCAAAGAAATCATGCGACTCGCCAAAAAGAATTCATGCGACTCGCCAAAAATTCATGCGACTCGCCAAAAGAATTCATGCGGCCCGCCAAAAAATTCATGCGACTCGCCAAAAAAGAATTCATGCGACTCGCCAAAAAGAATTCATGCGACTCGAAAAAAATTCATGCGACTCGCCAAAAAGAATTCATGCGGCTCGCCAAAAATTCATGCGACTCGCCAAAAAAGTTCATGCGGCCCGCCAAAAAGTTCATGCGACTCGCCAAAAAATTCATGCGACTCAAAAAAGAATTCATGCGACTCGCCAAAAGTTCATGCGGCCCGCCAAAGAATTCATGCGACTCGCCAAAAAATTCATGCGACTCGCCAAAAGAATCGCCAAAGAATTCATGCGACTCGCCAAAAGAGTTCATGCGACTCGCCAAAAGAATTCATGACCGCCAAAAGAATTCATGCGACTCGCCAAAAGAATTCATGCGGCCCGCCAAAAGAATTCATGCGACTCGCCAAAAGAATTCATGCGACTCGCCAAAAGAATTCATGCGACTCGCCAAAAGAATTCATGCGACTCGCCAAAAGAATTCATGCGACTCGCCAAAAGAGTTCATGCGGCCCGCCAAAAGAATTCATGCGGCTCGCCAAAAGAATTCATGCGACTCGCCAAAAAGAATTCATGCGGCCGCCAAAGAATTCATGCGACTCAAAAAAGAATTCATGCGGCCCTCGCCAAAAGAATTCATGCGACTCGCCAAAGAATTCATGCGATTTCGCGCAAAAGAATTCATGCGACTCGCCAAAAAGTTCATGCGGCCAAAAGCTCGCCAAAAGTTCATGCGGCCCGCCAAAAAGAATTCATGCGACTCGCCAAAAGAGTTCATCACCCGAATTCATGCTCAAAAAGAATTCATGCGACTCGCCAAAAAGAATTCATGCGACTCGCCAAAAAGAATTCATGCGACCCGCCAAAAGAATTCATGCGACTCGCCAAAAAGAATTCATGCGGCATGCGCTCAAAAAAATTCATGCGACTCGCCAAAAGAATTCATGCGACTCGCCAAAAGAATTCATGCGGCCCGCCAAAAGAATTCATGCGACTCGCCAAAAGAATTCATGCGACTCGCCAAAAGAATTCATGCGGCCCGCCAAAAGAATTCATGCGACTCGGCAAAAGAGTTCATGCGACTCGCCAAAAGAATTCATGCGACTCGCCAAAAGAGTTCATGCGGCCCGCCAAAAGAATTCATGCGACTCGCTGCGAAAGAATTCATGCGGCCCGCCAAAAGAATTCATGCGACTCGCCAAAAAAGTTCATGCGGCCCGCCAAAAAAGAATTCGCGACTCGCCAAAGAATTCATGCGACTCCGCCAAAGAATTCACTCGCGAGTTCATGCGACAAAAAGTTCATGCGACTCGCCAAAAGAATTCATGCGACTCGCCAAAAATTCATGCGACTCGCCAAAAGAATTCATGCGACCCGCCAAAAGTTCATACGACTCGCCAAAAAAAATTCATGCAGCCCGCCAAAAGAATTCATGCGACTCGCCAAAAGAAATTCATGCGACTCATAAAAGAATTCATGCGACTCGCCAAAAGAACCCGCCAAAAGAATTCATGCGGCCCGCCAAAAAATTCATGCGACTCGCCAAAAAAATGAATTCATGCGACTCGCCAAAATAATTCATGCGACTCGCCAAAAGAATTCATGCGACTCGCCAAAAAATTCGCAAAGAGTTCATGACCCGCCAAAAATTTCATGCGACTCGCCAAAAGTTCATGCGACTCGCCAAAAGAATTCATGCGACTCGCCAAAGAATTCATGCGACTCGCCAAAAGAATTCATGCGACTCGCCAAAAGAATTCATGCGGCCGCCAAAAAGAATTCATGCGACTCGCCAAAAGAATTCATGCGATTCGAATTCTCGCTCGCCAAAAAGTTCATGCGGCCCGCCAAAAGAATTCATGCGACTCGCCAAAAAGTTCATGCGGCCCGCCAAAAGAATTCATGCGACTCGCCAAAAGAGTTCATGCGGCCCAAAAAAGAACTCTCGCCAAAAGAATTCATGCGCCCGCCAAAAAAGAATTCGCGACTCGCCAAAAGAATTCATGCGACTCGCCAAAAAGATTTCATGCGGCTCGCCAAAAAAGAATTCATGCGACTCGCCAAAAAGAATTCATGCGGCCGCCAAAAAAGAATTCATGCGACTCGCCAAAAGAATTCATGCGACTCGCCAAAAGAATTCATGCGACTCGCCAAAAGAATTCATGCGACTCGCCAAAAGAATTCATGCGGCCCGCCAAAAGAATTCATGCGACTCGCCAAAAGAATTCATGCGACTCGCCAAAAGAGTTCATGCGGCCCGCCAAAAGAATTCATGCGACTCGCCAAAAATTCATGAAAAAAATTCATGCGACTCGCCAAAAGAGTTCATGCGGCCCGCCAAAGAGAACTCGCCAAAAGAATTCATGCGACTCGCCAAAAGAATTCATGCGACTCGCCAAAGAATTCATGCGACTCGCCAGCTGCTCGCCAAAGAATTCATAGAAAAAATCATGCGACCCGCCAAAAATTCATGCGACTCGCCAAAAGAGTTCATGCGGCCCGCCAAAAGAATTCATGCGACTCGCCAAAGAGTTCATGCGACCCGCCAAAAAATTCATGCGACTCGCCAAAAAAGTTCATGCGACTCGCCAAAAGAATTCATGCGACTCGCCAAAAGAGTTCATGCGACTCGCCAAAAAAATTCATGCGACTCGCCAAAAATTCATGCGACTCGCCAAAGAATTCATGCGACTCGCCAAAAAAAGTTCATGCGCCCGCCAAAGAATTCATGCGACTCTTAAAAAAAATTCATGCGACTCGCCAAAAGAATTCATGCGACTCGCCAAATGCGGCTCGCCAAAAGAATTCATGCGACTCGCCAAAAGAATTCATTCACTCGCCAAAAAAAGAATTCATGCGACTCGCCAAGAAAGAATTCATGCGACTCGCCAAAAGAATTCATGCGACTCGCCAAAAGAGTTCATGCGGCCCCGCCAAAAATTCATGCGACTCGCCAAAGAGTTCATGCGGCCCGCCAAAAGAATTCATGCGACTCGCCAAAAGAATTCATGCGACTCGCCAAAAAAGAATTCATGCGACTCGCCAAAAGCCAAAAGAATTCATGCGACTCGCCAAAAGAATTCATGCGACTCGCCAAAAAATTCATGCGACTCGCCAAAAAAAGAATTCATGCGACTCGCCAAAGAATTCATGCGACTCGCCAAAAGAATTCATGCGACTCGCCAAAAGAATTCATGCGACTCGCCAAAAGCATGCGACAAAAGAATTCATGCGACTCGCCAAAAGAAAAAGAATTCATGCGACTCGCCAAAAGAGTTCATGCGGCCCGCCAAAAGAATTCATGCGACTCGCCAAAAGAGTTCATGCGACTCGCCAAAAGAATTCATGCGACTCGCCAAAAGAATTCATGCGACTCGCCAAAAGAATTCATGCGACTCGCCAAAAGAATTCATGCGGCCCGCCAAAAGAATTCATGCGACTCGCCAAAAGAGTTCATGCGGCCCGCCAAAAGAATTCATGCGACTCGCCAAAAGAATTCATGCGACTCGCCAAAAGAATTCATGCGACTCGCCAAAAGAGTTCATGCGGCCCGCCAAAAGATTCATGCGACTCGCGACATGCGCCAAAAGAAAAAGAATTCATGCGACTCGCCAAAGAATTCATGCGACTCGCCAAAAGAATTCATGCGACTCGCCAAAAGAATTCATGCGACTCGCCAAAAGAATTCGACTCGCCGACTCGCTCGCAAAAGAATTCATGCGACTCGCCAAAAATTCATGCGGCCCGCCAAAAAAGAATTCATGCGACCCGCCAAAAGAGTTCATGCGGCTCGCCAAAATAATTCACCGCCAAAAGACTTCGCGAAAAAAAGAATTCATGCGACTCGCCAAAAGAATTCATGCGACTCGCCAAAAAGAATGCGACTCGCCAAAAAATTCATGCGACTCGCCAAAAAAATTCATGCGACTCGCCAAAAGAATTCATGCGACTCGCCAAAAAATTCATGCGACTCGCCAAAAGAATTCATGCGACTCGCCAAAAGAATTCATGCGACCCGCCAAAAGAATTCATGCGACTCGCCAAAAGAGTTCATGCGACTCGCCAAAAAGAATTCATGCGACTCGCCAAAAAATTTCATGCGACTCGCCAAAGAATTCATGCCACTCATAAAAATTCATGCGGCCCGCCAAAAGAATTCATGCGACTCGCCAAAGAGTTCATGCGCCTCCCAAAAAATTCCCGCTCAAAAAAATTCATGCGACTCGCCAAAGAATTCATGCGACCCGCCAAAAGAATTCATGCGACTCGCCAAAAGAATTCATGCGGCCCGCCAAAAGAATTCATGCGACTCGCCATGCGACTCGCCAAAGAGTTCATGCGACTCGCCAAAAAGAATTCATGCGACTCGCCAAAGAGTTCATGCGGCCCGCCAAAAAGAATTCATGCGACTCGCCAAAAGAGTTCATGCGGCCTCGCCCAAAGAATTCATGCGACTCGCCAAAAAAATTCATGCGACTCGCCAAAAAGAATTCATGCGACTCGCCAAAAGAATTCATGCGACTCGCCAAAAGAATTCATGCGACTCGCCAAAAAGAGTCGCCAAAAAAGAGTTCATGCGGCCCGCCAAAAAATTCATGCGACTCGCCAAAAGAATCATGCGACTCGCCAAAAGAATTCATGCGACTCGCCAAAAGAATTCATGCGACTCGCCAAAAAGTTTCAAAAGAATGCGGCCCGCCAAAAGAATTCATGACTCGCCAAAAGAATTCATGCGACTCGCCAAAAGAATTCATGCGACTCGCCAAAAAGAGTTCATGCGGCCCGCCAAAAAAATTCATGCGACTCGCCAAACGAGTTATGAATTCCAAAAGAATTCATGCGACCCGCCAAAAGAATTCATGCGACTCGCCAAAAAATTCATGCGACTCGCCAAAAAGAATTCATGCGACCCGCCAAAGAATTCATGCGGCCCGAAAAGAATTCTCGACTCGCCAAAAGAGTTCATGCGGCCCGCCAAAAGAATTCATGCGACTCGCCAAAAGAATTCATGCGACTCGCCAAAAGAATTCATGCGACTCGCCAAAAGAGTTCATGCGGCCCGCCAAAAGAATTCATGCGACTCGCCAAAAGAGTTCATGCGGCCCGCCAAAAGAATTCATGCGACTCGCCAAATGAATTCATGCGGCCCGCCAAATGTTAGTAAATTTGAAAGAGGGACTTACCAAGCCACGCCAAATAATTATTACAAGCATTTTGACGCCTAATTTCAACAAACTTGTAAATAACCGGAATCAGATACATTATTCTCATTCAGTCATTGAGATCCTTTTGTTGCTAATTTACCTTGTTTTTCAAATAAATCTCTTTCATGTGAACTTACTACTTCAAAATATCAATAATTTTTTTTCTTTAAACTGAATTACTTTGTTTTGAAACAAATCTGTTTCATATGAAGTTTTTACTTTAAAATTTACATTATTTTTTCTTTAAATTTCGATATTTTATGTGTTTTTTTTAAGTTTCTACTTTAAAACATTAGCAAAAATTGTTTTTTTTTATTTCTTTACATAGAGTTAATTTGTTTTTCAAATGTTTTCTAATTTATAGTATTAATTAATAAAAATATTCTTTTCTTAAAACCAGATTATTTTGTCTTTCAAATATGTTTCGTGTAAATCTTCAACTTAAAAATACTTATTAATATTTTTTCTTTCAAGTACTTTAAACTGAGTTATTTTGTCTTTCAAATAAATGCGTTTCATTTGAATCTTCTACAGGACTTTAAAATATTAATTAATAAAAATAAATTGCATTTTTTTCTTAAAAGCCTTTTTTGACTATATAAAATATTAATTATTTTGGCTTAATATACTACGCGGGCCAATAAAATTGTGATTTTTTGAATGTGGCCCTTGCACTGAAAATTTTGCCCACTCTTGATTTAGACACATCATACCAAAAAGCTCTACTTATCTAAGATATATAGATAATGTCCTCTGATTATATCCCCAAGATACAAACCTATGAGTTATAATAATGAAACTCAATAAGGCTGAATCTACCACTGAATTCACACACGAATTGGAAATAAACAATTCTGTACATTTCCTTGACATCATATTAATAAGCAAATATGAGAAATTAGATTTTAAAGTTTATCGTAAACCCACAAACAAAAAACGATCTAATCAACTTCTATTCCCCCCAAAACCAAAGAATAAAATCTGGACTAATCATAGGATTCTACCAGAGAGCCCTTAAAATATATGCCAAGGAATATCTAAATGAAGAAGATTATCAAGCAATAAACAATATATATCAACATGGTAAGTATCTCTCTTCCTTTAGTAATGACACCAAGAAGGATGTTCGTGAATATGAAAGGATTCTATTGAAAATAAGTAGACAGAACTTGTTTAAATTATTCAATGAAGCATTTCTCAATATATATATATATATATATATATATATATATATATATATATATGAATAAAAATGACAATAGGAAAACTAGTAATTGCTGACGCGTTTCGTCCAATGTGGACTTTATCAAAGCAAAATACAAAATGAATTTAACTGAAGAAGGTAACTAATAAAAACAAAAAACAGAATATTCCTAGCAACTGGAATGTAGAGAAAGGCTATATATATATATATATATATATATATATATGATAAAGGTAATAACCGTTGGTATATGATGCAAGTGGATCCAAGTAATATGAAATATTAAAATTGATCCACAAAAAGAGCTCAATGTATTTATTATAACAGAGCCAATAAATAATATTATACAGCAAAATCCCCAATTACCTCATATGGGGAGGGGATAGATCTTTTTCAACCGACGAAAACTACGTCAGTCTTATTCCACCCCAGTGACGGGGTTGAATAAGGCTGACGAAGTTTTCGTCGGTTGAAATAGTGTTATCCCCTGTATGAGGTAGTTTTGGATTTTGTTCTGTAATACTCTCTCTCTATTATATATATATATATATATATATATATATATATATATATATACGTGTGTGTATTTCTACAGAATAAATGTATTTATTTTAAAAAAAAACAACGTTCGAAGTGACATAGATGTCGTATTAAAAATAAATCCATTTATTTTGTAGAAATACACACACACGTATATATACATATATTCTAGCAGCATGGCTCGGCGTTGCCCGTGCTTGATTCAAAAATCGTACGACTCATACAGCAATCACTATCACTTGACTTAAAATATTTTTGCCCTTTCTTGCCTTTAAAGGAGTGCCCTTTGCCGTGCTGATGTTGCTACATGCCTTACTTCTTGCCTATCTCACACTGCGAATTTTTTCTAAGCTCTATAGTAAACATTAAATCTGTTACGAAAAGAGAACTAAACAAAATGAATACAAAACGATCAGCTTTAAAAGAGGACTCGTAACTGGAAAAACAGAATGAAAAAAGAATGTTAACAACAAATACTTTTTCAGACCCAACCCAGTCCTGCGGAATCAGAATCAATGTTGAGTTTAAGCAAGCGAATGAGCCAATTGGAGTAAAGTGCCATGCAGATTTAAATTTGTCTCACTTGTGACGAATGCAGCTATCGCTTTTTTTGCATGCTAGTTAACATTCGTGTCAGTCAGCTGTTGGCTCTCACGCTGGCCAATAGAATCTTCCTGCCTATTTGTGGCAGCCAGCTATAGGCTCTCACTCTGGCCAGTAGAAAATGGCCGCAAATTACATGAAAACTGCCGTAGAAGCATGAAAAAATTGATTATTTCTATCGATGGTAGTTGGTAAATGCAAGGTCAGTCTTGGCCTTTCCCGCTAACTTGGAGAATGTGCATGTAAATTTTGGTGCAAATACGTCGAAAATTGCGGCCGTACATTCGTTACACACACACACATCCTGCCTTTTATAGATAGAGATATATTATTAAAAATAAATCCATTTATTCTGTATATATATATATATATATATATATATATATATATATATATATATATATATATATATAGTGTGTGTGTGTGTATTTCTACAGAATAAATAGATTTATTTTAATATGACATTTATGTCACTTTGAACGTTGTTATATAGGGTATTCATATTTGAAATAAAAGCTCCATTTTTATTATTTCATACCATTTATTTATTTTGTATTACCTTTGTATTTTATATGTGTATTTCATTTTGGTATTACGTCTATCGGCCTGTGTATCCAGTACATTTTACTTTACTTAGTTTTCTCGAATGACAGATAAAGAAACAAGTCTGTTCTGCTGCTAGAAAAATTGGTTCTCTGTCGTTCTAGAAAATTTTTCTCGCCAGGATCTCTCCTACAGCTTTATAAGTTTACCATTATTCTACGCATTGAATGTTGCTCTCACATCTGTCCTAGTGCTTCTGCTATGTATTTAGGGGTACTTGATAAAATCCAAAGAAGAATATGCAATGTAATCTGTCCTGATCTGGCATCTCGGTTTCAGTCAGTTTTCCATCAAGTAATTCTGTCTCCATATGCATTTTCTACAAATATTTTCATGGTAATTTTTCTGATTAGCTTTCCTCATTTGTAAACCGACTTTAAGAGTTTAAGCACACTAAGAGATTGGTAGCTAGGACTCATCTTACAGATAAAATGGCTATTTGCAACCGTAAGTTCTATGCTAACAGTTTCTTCTCTTGCACTTTTCGCTTTTTGCTTCCGAATCAACTTTGATCTTTAAAAATTTAAATGCAATGTCACTCGTCACCCTCTGTTCCCTGTTCTTTCATGGACTCCACTCATTAATACTGTTTTATTTCTAATATTCTTTCATACGCAGTAAACTCTTGCGTCCTAGTGGCTTTACTGCCTTTCTTTGTTTTAAATAATAGATTCTTGTGCCTTATCCTTTCAAAGGATTGTCTCCGAAACAAAAACTTCAACTTTTCTGTCTTTGTATTACTATGGATGAAGAAGAGATTCAAAGCGACGGAGATGTGGTTCTACAGAAGGATGTTAGGGATATCATTGACCGAACATTTGAGCAACGAGGAAGTTTTAGATAGGTTACAAACAACGAGAAGGCTTATACTTAACATCATAAAGAGGAAGTTTCTGGGACACATAATGAGGAAGGAGGAGCTGGAGAATCTGATACTCACGGGTCGAATAGAGGCGAAAGTGAAACAAGGGAAAGCGGTGCGTGATATACCTGGCGAGATTGAGCGGGTGGATGACAGAACGTGGTCTGTTGGGAGGAAGCAGAGGGAAGGAACTTGTTGAGAGCTGCAAGGGATAGAAGGAGGTGGAGAGCCATGATCGCCTACGTCCTGAAAGGATATGGCACATAAAAAGAAAAGAATTACTATGGATATAAAATAAAACTTTAGCAATATGAGGGAAGATAAATACTAACACGGGGAAGCTATGAAGGGGGCGAAACATTTGAGTGATGAAAGTATAAAATTGCTTGGAGGGATGCATGAAGGTTGGAAAGCACTTGTCGTTTGCAAACCGTTCGTTGTTTGAAAGCTGTTCGTTGGCAGAAACAAGAAAGTAGATACAGCGAGTAGTGATGTGTTCGCTGGAGAAGATGAGGAAGGGGGGCCTCGAGACAACGAGCTGGGGGAAAGGTGAGAAGATGAGGAGGAAAGACAAGTCGAGATAAATAAGTTGACGCCCCAAAATAATTGAAATAAATAGACTAATGGGACAAGACAACAAGAGAAGAAACAGTGAAAAATGAGATGGAAAAAAAAAGGAGGGAAAAGAAAGATAGAAAGAATGGACCTTCTCAAGGAAATAGAAAGAAAATGAATATTAATGAAGAAATGAAAGAAAAGGAGAGTGTGAACGATAAAAGAAAGAGGAATAGCCACAAAGAAAGAAAGAAAAAAAAGAAAGAAGGAAAGAAAGAAAAGAAAAAGAAAGAAGGAAAGGGAATATCTGCGAAAAAGAAAGAATGAAAAGGAATATATAGAACGAAAGAACGAAAGAAAGAAAGAAAGAAAGAAAGAAAGAAAGCGAATGTCAAGGAAAATAAAAGGAATATCAACAATGAAAGAAAGAATAAATGAATAAAGAATGAAAGAAAGAAAGAAAGAAAGAAAGGTCAACTGAAAAGGAATAAATAAATAAAGAAAAGGAATATCAACGAAAAAAAAAAGAAAAAAGGAGAATGTGAACGATAAAAGAAAAAAGAAAGCGGAATATAAAGAAAGAAAGAAAGAAAGAAAGAAAGAAAGAAAGAAATTGAATGCAGGGAAAGAAAGAGACAGATAAATAGAAAGAAAGAAAAAAGAAAGAAAGAAAAAAAGAAGGAAGGAAAGGGAATATCAACGAAAAAGAAAGAAAGAACGAAAAAAGAAAAAGAATGCCAAAGAAAATGAAAGAAAAGGAATATCAACAACGAAAGAAAGAAAGAAAAAAAGAAAGAAAGAAAAAAGAAAGAAAGAAATGGGATGTCAACGAAAAAGGAATAAATAAATAAAGAAAAAGAATGTCAAGGAGGAAAAGAAAGAAAAAAGAAAGAAAGAAAGAAAGAAAGAGAGAGAGAAAAGGAAGATCCACGAAGAAAGAAATAAAGTTAAATAAATAAATAAAATAAATAATAAAGAAAGAAAAAAGTAAGATCCAGGAAGAAGGAAATGAAGATAAAGCGAAAGAAAGAAAGAAAGAAAGAAAGAAAGAAATAAAGAAAGAAAGAAAGAAAGAAAGAAAGAAAGAGCAAAATAAAAAAGGAGGGTCTATCAAGAAAGAAATAAAAATAAATGAACAAAGAAAGAACGAAAGAAAAGGAAGAAAGAAAGAAAGAAAAGGAAGATACACGAAGAAAGAAAGAAAGAAAGAAAGAAAAAAAGAAAAGGAAGATCCACGAAGAAAGAAATAAAAATAAATGAAGAAAGAAAGAAAGAACGAAAGAAAAGGAAGATCCACAAAGAAAGAAAGAAAGAACGAAAAAAAGAAAGAACGAACGAAAGAAAGAAAGAAAGAAAAGGAAGATACACGAAGAAAGAAAGAAAGAAAGAAAGAAAAAAAGAAAAGGAAGATCCACGAAGAAAGAAATAAAAATAAATGAAGAAAGAAAGAAAGAACGAAAGAAAAGGAAGATCCACAAAGAAAGAAAGAAAGAAAGAAAGAAAGAAGGAACGAAAGAAAAGGAAGATCTACGAAGAAAGAAAGAAAGAAAGAAAGACAGAAAGAAAGAACGAAAGAAAGAAAAGGAAGATCCACGAAGAAAGAAAGAACGAAAGAAAGAAAGAAAGAAAGAAAAGAAAGATCCATGAAGAAAGAAATAAGGAGAAAGAAAAAAAGAGAGTAAGAAAGAAAAGAGAAAAAATTATGGAAAAATATCAACGAAAAAAATAAAAGAAAGAAAAAATGAAATTAATAAAGAAAGAAAAGAAAGAAAAAAAGAAGATAAATGCGGACATAGAAAAGAAAGAAAAAATCATAGGAAAAACAAAAAGCAAAAAATAAGAAAAAAAAAAAAAAATTTCCGAGAAAGTAAGAAAAATGAATGAAGAATAAATGAATTAAGGGAATAAATAAACGAACAGAATGAATTTGGAATCACAATTCCCTGACCAGAATATAAACGAACTCCGATTACCAATCCCACTTGTCTCATCAATTCGTTTTTATATCTTAGCGAGTGAAAATGCAAATTTCTTTTGTCGGCTGATAGTAATGTCGGGTAGTTAGGACTTCAGTTTGTAACACATCCTCCTGGAGACATTCACCGGCTTCTTTTTTTAATATTCATCTTCAGGCATACACTTGTTAAAAAGCCATATCTCTTCAGATATAAGCACACGCTTCCATCACACTTGACTGTTATAATCTGTTAGAAAAGCCAAGCATTCTCCTTGAGGTTGGAAATTTGTTTCAACTTAGATTTTTATAAAATCCAAAATACCTAAAAGGATTCTATAGCGAATTTGGTAGGCAAAGTTTGGAGTTCACGGAACAATATTCTTTCCTGGAAATAATGTAAGCAGAAGTTCTTTTTTTTAAAAAAAGATCTTTATCTTTTTTTGTTTTCCTTTTCTCAGCCTGGAAATGTCCTTTGTTGGACACGACTGGAATTCGAACTCGTCTGTCCAACTTCTCCTTCCGAGCTGTGATCGTTACATCAACAGCACATAAACGTTTACAGCACCTTGCATTCTATCTAGGTACTAACCAGGATCGATGTTGCTTAACTTCGGTGATCGGGAAATATCAGGTCATCCCATAAGTTCTATCCGAATTTTAACTTTTTGTTAAAATGAACGAAATTTAAAGATTATTTTATAATGTCTAATGGGGCTGAACATTATTTTTATGTTTAGATGCATTTAAACTGATCAAATTTTATTTCAGAGAACAATAAAATTAAATTTTGTTTGATTAAAACCCTGCTAACATGGAAGTACCCAAGAATCATTTGAGGCACATAATGCTTTATGAGCTCAAGAAAGGAAACTCAGCAGCTGAAGCAGCTAGAAACATTCACTCAGTTTATGGAGAGGAATGTGTGAATGAAAGAACTTGCAGAAGATGGTTTGCAAAATTCAGAGGTGGAGATTTCACCCTTGAAGATGAAGATCAAACCGGACATCCAATTGAGTTTGATGAAAACCTTTTTGAAGCAGCCCTTGAAGAAAATCCTGCTTTATCAGTTGAGGAATTGGCAGTTGTTCTCAGTTCAAACCATATAACTGTTCATCTTCAACAACTTGGAAAAGTTCCTAAACTTGGAAAATGGGTGCCTCATGAATTGTCTGAAAACAACGTCAAATCCCGAGTTGACATCTGCTCTTCTCTCCATTCTCGCCAACTTGTTTCACCTTTTTTGGATAGACTTGTGACTGGCGACGAAAAATGGATCTTTTATCGAAATGTTAAGCGTCGTAGACAGTGGCTTGGTAAAGTGGAAGGACCCCAGCCACAGCCGAGAAGGGAACTTCATGGGCAAATGGTACTTCTTTCAATCTGGTGGGATCGCCAAGGAATAATCCACTTTGAATTCTTACCACCTTATGCAACAATTAATGCTCAAATATACTGTCAGCAATAATAGCGTTTGAACCAAGCTTTGAAAAAAAAGACCTGCCCTAGTGAATCGAAAAGAGGTGATGTTTCATCAGGACAATGCGCGACCCCACACAGCAAGAATCACGTCACAAAAGATCGAAGAACATGGTTGGGAGAAAATTCCTCATCCACCTTATTCTCCCGATCTTGTTCCTTCAGACTACCATTTGTTTCGTAGCTTACAGAATCATTTGGAAGAAACAGCTTTTGTAACACAGGAAGAAGTTAAAACTGACATTTGTGAGTTCTTCGAATCAAAGCCAAAAGAATTTTACAGTAATAGAATTAGTAAGCTTGTTAATAGATGGAAGGAAGTCATAGATAATCAGGGAAAATTCATTGTTTATTGAATCTGTAATTAAATGTAACATTTGGTCACTTGTTTTCTTTATTCAAAATTCGGACAGAACTTATGGGATGACCTGATATATCTATATTCCCCACATACACAGACAGACTGTTTCGTTGTATCACAGCATTTCAGTGTGACTGGTCGTCCGATCACTTCAAGCCGAGATCGAAACTCGACCGATTTGGCATCAGTCAGTGATCCTACCCTAAGCCGTCGGAGGGATAGAAAGGGAAAAGGTTATTTTAGGATATTAAACGGAAAACGTGTCAAAATCGCTACACAACTGCCGTCGTGTTTCCATGCGTATCAATGCATCTCATCAGGCGATTGTAAATTACTGGCGAGTAAAAGATTTATTTAGATTTAAAAGCAAAATACAACCTCTTTTTACAATAAAAGAAAAAAAAGTGTGGGTTATAATGTTTGTGGGCATTACTTTCATCAACCAATCAAATATGACCTACGTTAAATCTAAACTAAGCGAAAAAACAAAAAATAATTGACCCGTAGATTGACAGCTAACTCCAGCCAGACATAAACTAGAGCGAACGAAAATCGTTACATAATTTATACAATCTAGACAATGTCATTTCCTAAGAAATAAAAATGGGGTGGCGAAATAATTTAACAAAATGCTAAACAAGTTATATGCTTTGTGAGTTTCCCCATAATTTTTTTTTTATAGTAGATAAATAAATAGCCTCTTTTAGAAACTAGTAAATAATTTTTAAACGTATAGCATTATTTGGTAAATTAATATGCAACTGAGATTCCTCTTATAAGATGTTAAATCAATAACCAATCAATGTAAAATTTCAAAAATACAACTGTACAAGATGTTACTGAAACTACCAGGAGATTAATACACAATTATATTAAGTCTAAATTAATCTTACAAATATATATATATATATAATTATTTATGTATTATATGCGCGGTGCTTATTAGAAAGCGCTCAATATCAGAGATAGAGCTAACAAACTCATATCAATCCAACTATATATATATATATATATATATATATATATATATATATATATATATATATATATATATATATATCCACTATATATATCCACTTGTATTATATATATATATATATATATATATATATGGATAGTGGCTTGGATTGAGGAATCGGGGAGCCGAGTTCGAATTCCAGTCGAATCCATTACCCTTGGGGAAGGTACGAATCCTCTATGGGTAAATAGCCTTGGATGACAACTGGTCTAGGAGACTGAATTCAAAACCTGCGGAGGGTCGTTTGGGGACCTGGTGGCACTTAGTGCACCAGGTCTCTGTATTCGGCCCTTCAAAAAGTGTGGATGATCCTGCACGAAACCTTCACCACTATAATCAAAATATCATGTACTGTTGTTGGGCTGTCGGTTTCCTAGGAACTGATCTGCTTGACCTTCATACGTCGAATTCGAAGCGAGAGTCGAATATATATAACAAAGAAGAAATCAAGAAAAGCATGTTGTCTTATTTGGGAAACGAATAGGGAAAAACAACGATTTAGGTAAGAGACGGAGCAATGTTCTCCTACAGGAATCAGACTTGCATCATATGACGAACCACCACTATAACCATTTAGCCACAGAGAACTATTGGTTACGCAAAGCTCGAATTAATGCTTATATGATGGTTCCTCATATCTATATATATATATATATATATATATATATATGAGGAACCATCACATATATATATATATATATATATATATATATATATATATATATATATATATATAAAACCCCTTGTCATGAGGCGCATTGAAATCACCAAACACAAAATTGGCTTCCCTCTGTCTTTTCTACAGATGGAAGAAGGTTGAGCGTCGTTTCTATCCTGTCAGAAATTTTGTCTAATATATTGAGAAGAGTGCTTATACTGCAACTATGTCGAGCAGACGTTAGTTACAGTTTCTGGGAGAGAGCGTGGTATCTAGCGTAATCAACAATCTGCACACTCAAACCCAGGGTCTATATGGTTTTCAGGAACTTTCCAAAGGTGCCGCATGCAGACTGATAACGTCAGGATATCTCTTTTCAGACAAATCGACTATGAGGAGATTCGAACCCCGGTCTCATGGTCAGAAAGCGAAAGTTCTAACCACTCGGCCGCATTATATCTGATATATAGAGATTATGTGTCACACACTTCGGAAGACAGACGGAATAAAATAGGAAATCCGCTTCTTAATTAAAAGTCACCGGTTCATTAAATACTGTTGTCATATCTGGTCCGTTGCTCCTGCTGTAGACCTCAAAGTTCTTGCCAAAATCCAAAGAAGCCATCTTGACATCAGTCACTGACCACGCATCTTGACTTCAATCACTTTCACATCAACGTGACGTGGCTTCCCTCTGTCTTTTCTACAAATATTTTCATGGCAATTGTTCTGGTGTGCTTTTTTCCCCCTGGTGCCCCGACCATGTGAATTTAAGTATGTTACTAGATTGGCATCTAGGTCCCACCCGTTTAATGTTGAAATAGCTAAATGCAACCCCCATTTCTACTCCAACAGTTTCTTTTCTCGCACTTCCAGCCTGTGGAACTCACTTCCGTTTACTTGCTACCATGATAACCACAATCTTCAAAAATTTTAATTCGATGTCAATTGTCATCTTTCTTCTTGAACCCTGTTCATATTTTGTTCTTTCCACAATCCTCCCTAAATTCACTCTTTTCTCTCATTTACACTCCCTGTAATCCCCTGCGTATTAGTGGCATTTCCGCCTTGTTTGGGGTGAAATGATTAATAAAAATTTAAATGCAACGTCAATCGCCATCTTCTATCTTCTTGAATCCCGTTCATCTTTTTTTCCTTCCCTCAATCCTCCCCTA